ACCACAAAAGTCCTAAATAGCATATAGAGGTTTTATTTACTATGAATAAAATATAATAGATCTATGAGAACAAGGAACATAATGGCTACAGGAAAATAAAACATTTTAGAATAATTATGTCCAAATGTCGAAAAGTCCTTCTATATCAAGCAGTGTATGTAAAATACGATTTTTCCTATATTAAAATGATGATATTAATTTCATTCCTATTACATATACTGTACCTAACTACTAAGTTACTCACAATACCTTCACTACACAGCCCGTAAAATATATCCAGCCTTTTTTGGGTGATTCATGATTGAACTGTAATTTTACTTCTAATTATAATAAAATACCTACTTACATTCGTAACACCAAATATTTCAAAATATATCCAATGTACCTAAAGCTTTCATGTCTTTTTAGTTTTTAATTTAGTAATACTTGTTACATAGTTTTTTTATTTTACAGGTACAAAGATTAGACAATCCAGGAAGAAGTACCTTATCTTCGCGACACAATATCATTCGGATTGTAAAATATTATTATGATATTTTTATATTTTATAAACACATTATTTTATATTACTTTCTTAGATTTACGCGAATATTTGACATTTTAAATAAAACTATGTTTTCGGATTATTTCGCGGATTTATTTTGATTTTTGGTTCCCGACGTTTCGAATGCTTTACAGCATTCATGGTCACGGGAGAGACTCTCCCGAAATAATCCGAAAAGATAGTTTTATTTAAACTCATTATTTTAATAAATTTTAAGTTCCTGCTATAAAATGAAAATAATATTATATAGCACAGCACAGAAGTATCATCTTAATGCGTAAGTTGGAAAATAACTTTTGGGCGGTCCCTCACAGGGAGCATTCGCCTGTAATGTAACAATTTAAGATTCGATGTTGAGCCTTACGTTGCAGCATTGCCTGATGCTTCACTGACTGACGAGCATTCACCTGTAATGTAACAATCTAGATTCGATGTTGAGTATTACGTTACAGTACTGCCTCACTGACTGACGAGCATTCGCCTGTAACGTAACAATTTAGATTCGATTTCGCGGCCCGCGACACGTTCACATGTATAGATGCGTTACACCTTGTATCTCGTTATACATGTTACGCATCGTAATGCTCGGTTCTTCTCTCTCACTGACAATAATACTGTCTTGTTAAATATCAGTTTACCCAAAAAATATCAATAATTTTCATATTCATATAAAATGGAAATGATTTCTATCATATGAACCGTGCTACATAGTTTAATTTCAATAATGATCAAACTCCAACTTCAAATATGTGTTATTAAATAAAGTTCAATCGCCAAGAGTTGGGAAAGTTGATTGAGTTAAAATATACTTATTGAAATTTGAAAAGCTAATTAGGGAAAGCTGAAAGATCATTTATGTCCGTGAGTGACTTCAAAAATTTTGTTTTTTTTCTCTTAGTTTTAGGCTGACTCAATTTGAAACTTGCCGTCGATACGAGAAGAACAAGACTTCAAAAACTATTTCTTGATCAGTGTTTTATTATAATAGTTTAAGCAATTTCAATTTAAATACAAAAAATGAAACTCAAGATGGCGTTGGACCTTGAAAAATCAAAGTGATTTAATGCAATATCATAGAAATATACCACAATGCGATAGCAATCTTTGCAACAACCACGTCATAGGGCTAGATTGCCAAGTCGGCGATTTTTCAATTATAAATCCGCCATGAATTAGGTCTTCGCTTCATTTTATTACTTTCACTTTTAACTAACTAGCTACTTTGTAATTAAATAAATTTTGGAAGTCTTAACTTACTTTTAAATTCTGATTACTATCGATTTGAAACTTTGTTATAAGCAAAATCTGGATAGCAATACATACATAATTAAATACCACCGAGTTAAATTGAAGGCAGTGGTAGCCCAGTGTTAACGGGCTCGCTTGGGAAACCGAGTGAAGCGGGTTCAAATCCCGGATCTCGCACCTCGGATATTTGCATGTGCAACTCATTTCTAACATGACTAGAAAACGTCGTGAGGAAACCTGCATTTCTGAGAGAACCTAGCAAGTTTTCGAAAGACATAAGAAGTCCGCCAACCCGCACTTGGCCAGCGTGGTGGGCTATGGCCTGATCCCCCTCGTATTGAAGCGAGGCCCGTGCCCAGCAGTGGGACGTTAAAAACGGCTGAATACATACATAGGTACATGAGTTAAATTGCTGACGGAATCAAGTGCAAAGTGGAACTCTTCAATGGCTACCTACTAGTAAAACCATAGCATCATTTGATTCGTTTTAACGAGTCCCGAGAAGTACATACAGATGGTTAATAATGTGTTTTATATTTAATTTATATTAGGTAATATAAACAATTTAAATATTATATAACTAATTACGGCGACACTTTCATTTCACTTGTCTTCTAATAAGTCTAGTATTCATTATTGTTTGCAACCGATATCATATTATATTTATTGACATAATTATTATCGGTGTAAGTAGTGTAGTGATATAAATGTGAAAAATAAGTAAACAGAAAGCATATTCACAACTAAAATTATTATTTTATCAGGTACCCATGCTATGTGGGTGTCCTAGTCTAGAATATTTCCATCATTTCATGGTCTCTAAATATTTCCAGCTAACAATCTGTATACAGCAAATCACTAAAATTTGAAGTTTGGAGTAAATTAGGACATATATGAAAATATTTATCCTTAAGATAGGTACCTATATGAAGGTAGGCGTAAGCGGCAAGGCTGTACACTATACATTCTGACCTTTAAAAATATATTAGATAAATACTTATAGTATTGTTATGTTTATAGTATTTTTATATTAAGCCTTCCTTGTTGTAAATAGAGGAAAAATTGGAATACTTAACACTAAATATTAATACATCAATTCAATAAAATCCAACACATTTTCACTGAATTTAGGTAAAGATACGTAAATGTGGTTTGCTATTTAATTATTTAATTTACGTATAATTTACATCAACACTCAACCAAATTCTTTTTATGGTTTGTTTTTTCCTTGTTTATATTTTTCCTATTTATTATATTTTATTCTTAGATTTGTGGTTGTTAGGCGTTAGTTGAGCTGTGAGCACTCAGCACAATTCACTTGGCCAATATCAGGTAGAATGATCAAGACAGACACGATTGAGATTCGATATATATAGATATTAGATATACTTGGATTACATCCTATTTACATTTGTGACAAAATATTTAGCATTTTAAAATGTTAATTAAGAGGTATCTAAGAAGTAATATTAAAATAAATTAGTAAAACTTAAGCTAACTGCAAGATTACCCAATAGTTGTGATGGTAGAGTAGACTTCACAGCCTTGCAGCTTATACAAGAATTAATGGAAATATTCTGATTTTAACCATTTGTTACTGCATCAAATACATTTCGACCTGGCTGTAATCCCCTGGGTAAATGTTAATGGTAATAAGATTATCATCCAACTTTTAAGAAAACTTCGTTACGTTTAAACCTTATGGTGTAAACTTAACTGGAAAATCACACTCATGAGTCATGGGTTTATTTTTCTATAACTGCCATAATACATTTTAACTTTACGTGGAAAGTTTTCCTCAATGTTACAAAATTTTACATAAAACCTAAGTAGACTGTTTTTAACATGGAGGACTTTCTAGCTTTAGGAGAAAGATTAACATTCGATAGGAAGAATTGAACGTAAATAAGTCATCGTTTTCACAGCTGAAAATCAGCTTCAAAACACAAGTTTAAACTGTGTGTGTGACAAATCCCCTCGTTATAAATAACCATTTATTATTTTATAACAATAACTTTTATTTATATAGTACAAACGTAATTGATTCTTAATCAAAAATCGGACTACTGCATGATACAAAATATGCGAAACTTTGTGTTTGTGTATATTTATTATTTTTACTCTTGCACACTGGACTGGGTGATTTTGGACCATAGATTCACAGACCAGGAACAACAAGAATTATGGGTTTTGAATATGGAGGGAAGAAGTAATCCTCCATAGTTTTGAACGGTTTGCGACCGTTGTAGTGAGTACTATGGTAGGTCGAGGTAAGGAAAGCTATCTCTGTGCTGAAAAAGTATCCATCGAAAAGCGTTAGTGTGGCGCTACTATAACAAGAGGGTGAATTTAAAAAAACATCAAGTTTATTAAAATATAATAATTATTTTATCTCACAGCAGTTTATTAGATTATATTTAGTAACTTATTTTGGACTAAGTAATTAGATGAGGTCTTGCATACTCCAATTTCATTAACTACTGTAGTCACCCAAAAATATTACATTTTTCAACTCAGCACACTTCTTCACTTCATCTACAACTGCAGAATTCATATATAATAATTAATATCAGACTCCTTACTTACGCTAGCGTCGTTCTGGTAAGTTTTTGAACTGTTATTTACTACTTACAGATGGACACATTTTTAACTTGTCTCCTATTATTAGAAGTCGGTTTTCCTTGCCTGTACCCTCCTTAGCTTATTATTCATCTATGGTACCTACTATAAGCATTAAAAATTAAATTTATTTTTTAAAATATATAAGCCCCATGAGTACTATTAAATTTTACTTTAAATGATTTTGAATATGATATAAAAACGCAATATTTATAAAATAAAACTTCAACTTACACGTCGTAAAAGTACTAACCACAAACTATAAAGAAATGCTACGCATACACTAACGTTTTCATTTAATGATCTGTGGTACCACTAGCAATTTATATGACATTTTTGTTTTCTGAATTGTGATCTGTCATAAATCTTAATTCATAAATCTTATTGTAATTTGTATCAAATATTAAACATATTTGTCATCCATTATCAATATGTATTCCATTTAACTTTGTGCACGGTGTATTATTAAAAACAGTAATTGCTTTATAAAATAATGTCTTAAATTATATACCTCCACTAAATCTATAGTCTTTAAACTAATAAAATAATCGAATCAAAGTACACAATAAAACTAAGCTAACATTTGAAAATGGCTGATATTTTGGACATATTAGATATTGAACATCCTGGGGCATCAGAAATAACCAGAGATAGTATAATACATGGCGATAAAATAAAAAAGAAATATGTTACTACAAAAGCAGCACGACGTCCTGAAGGCATGCATCGTGAAGTGTTTGCTCTTCTTTATAATGATAACAAAGATCTGCCTCCTCTACTGCCTACAGACACTGGTAGGTATTTGCATATTTTTAATATCAAACAATAATTTAATTTTGTGTGAAGCCCGTCGTAGAAATATAAATATTTGTGACTATTGAATTCAGGCAAAGCTTATAAACAAACCAAAGCTAAACTTGGTATGAGAAAAGCCAGAAAATGGGTATGGGCACCATTTACTAACCCAGCTCGCAAAGATAATGCAGTATTTCATCATTGGAAAAGAGTATCAGATGAAGCAAAGGAATATCCATTTGCCCAATTTAATAAGGTATACAAATTGAGTTGTTAATAGTGTTATTCTTTTTTATTTGTATTGTTTTATTTGTATAGTTCATTGAACGTAAATAATAAATATAAATCCTTAATTTTTTCTTTATTTTAGCAAGTATCAATTCCTTCATATTCCGAATCAGAGTACAATCAGTACCTAAAATCTGAAGACTGGAGTCAGGCTGAAACTGATCACCTAATGGATCTATGCCAGAGATTCGATCTTCGCTTTATAATAATACATGATAGATGGGATCGTGCAGCTTTTAGGGATAGGAGTGTTGAAGACTTAAAAGAAAGATACTATAATATTTGTACTATTCTAAGCAAAGTAAGTGTGTGTTTACATGGTTTTTTACTAAATGTATCATATAAATTTCGAAATATGGTTCTTGTTTATAAATCTTTAATTATAATCTTGTTATACTTTATTCTCGTGTAGCAATGCCCGTGGTGTTGTCAGTGTTCAAACATCCAATATTTACATCAGTTTTACAATAATGTATAGATATATACGGGCAGTATCATAATATTTGTTGACATTTATGATTACTGCTGTGCTCCCTTGGGTAGTAGCATGATGATACATACTTATAAACTTATATACTCAATAAACAAGCTACCTAATGCATAAAGAATTATTCAAATCAGATTAGTAGTTCCTGAGATTAGCGCATTCAAACAAACAAACTCTGTTTCTTTATAATATTAGTATAGATGTAAAGTTTTCGAAAATTAGCCTAAAGTAATAATAAACTTATAGGTTAAAACAAATCCTTGGTCAAACTCTGTGACAATGGTCAATGGAGAGAAAAGGGTTTATCATTATGATGCTGAACATGAAAGGAAGAGGAAGGAGCAACTCAAAAAGTTATTTGAGAGGACACAAGAACAGGTAATCACCCTTAACTTAATACATTATAATCCTCATATTATAAATGTGAAGTTTGTGAGGATGGATTAATGGATGATTGTTACTCTTTCACGCCAAAACGGCTTAACGGTCAGGATTTTGCCTTTTGGCACAGATAGATTATTGTCTGGAATAGCACATAGGTTACTTTTTGTCCTGGAAAAATGTTTTGTTCCCATGGGATAGATTTTTTTGTCTAGGGACAAACCTGAAGCTAAGGGAGTCACTTGTAATTAATAATCTTATCAATAATGTAAATGAATATAACCAGAATAACAATATAATTTGACAGATCGATGAAGAACAAATGTTATTGGCTGAGTTGAAGAAAATAGAAGCAAGAAAACGTGAAAGAGAGAGAAAAACTCAAGATTTACAAAAACTAATCTCTAGAGCTGACAACGCAAATGGTGTTGCAAATGTTCAACCAAATATTGTCAATGATACTACAAGCACCCCTAACACAGCTGCAAGTATAGCCCGCAGACATGATAGGAAACTACATAAGAAAAAAATTTCATCTCAGCAAAGACCTATTCGTACTGTTGAAACTGTTGTAAGTGAATTATCTTTGACATAAATAAAATATAATGTCATAATAGTCCATTCTTCTGCCTATTATATTGTACTATGTAATCTGAATTACCTCTTAAAGTTGTATATTTTTAAGTTACATATACAGGGTGTCCCAGAACTCAACGTCAAGCCGAAACGGGGCGACAGGATTGATTGTAACCATCATGAAAAAAATCAGAAAAAAAATCTATCCCATGCAGTTTGAAAATTATGGGCATTTAAGAAAAACCTAAAAATTTGGTCACACTGTAATCATTTTTCGGTTATTGTGGTTAATTTTTATTATTTTTGTTTATTTAAACTTTGGAACCGTAACCCTAAATAACATTTCTAGAATCACAGTCAAAAATAATGACACAATTGCCCCAAGTTTCCTGGAGTTAAGACTATTTGTTAAAGTATGAATTTAAAATTTTCAAAATTTGTCAACTTTGAAAGGTCCTCCTTTAAAAAAAATGTATTAGAGCGCCTTGGCAAGTGCCGTTAAAAGTTAGCGCATTTAATCAGGACTATAGATTATCAGACTAAGATCCCGCTGCAAATTGCTACGTTCATAGCATATTTAATTAAAATCATTTTTTATCTACAATAATAAAAGGGACAATATATTTTGACCGGGATGCTTATTAAAATGTGCTCGCTAGTATGTTTAATTAAATAAATAATAATTGACTTTTTAGAACAAAAGTCAATTATTATTTATTTGCTACAAAAGTGGTTGCGAGTCATTAAAGATTTTTTTGTTACATTTATACGGTCAAAACATATTGTCCTTTTTATTATTGTATATAAAAAAATGATTTTGATTAAATACACTATGAACGTAGCAATCTTGCAGCCGGATCTCGATCCATTATTTTGACATTACAAAGAGGGACATCAATTTTATTTATTTGTGTAAATAATCCCTGACAGCTGGGAGAATTTTAATATGGTTGGAATTGTCTCTAAATAAAGCTTAATTTTAGCTTAGCTTAATTTAATTTCTATTAGTTAATAGATATTGATTAAAATCTAAATGAACATCTTGAGCTGAAAGAAATCATTCACTTATTATAGTCTACAATTATAATGTAAACCATTTAATTTATAATGTAAATCATATGATTTTATTAGATATAACTAACAACTCTGAATTTCTTCACAGACAGTAGAGTGGTCAGGAATAAAGTTCCCAGAAGCTCGAGGCACAGGTGTATGGCTGCGGTCACAGCGTATGAAGCTACCACCTGGTGTGGGCCAACGTAAAACCAAAGCTATAGAACAAGAACTACGCATTATGAACATTGGTAATATATAAACAAATATCATTTATCAGCATTTACAACATAATAATGTAGTAGCTGCCTTATTATTCTATTTACTGCCTCGGTGGTGTAGTGGCTAGCACGAAACACACTGGCTGCACACCCGAAGGTCCTGGGTTCAAGTCCCGGGTTGGGCCAAGTTTAGTTATTGAGTCTTTCTGTATAGTAGTATTAAGGCAGTAACAGCCCGGAGTTGGGAAGTTGTTTCACCCTCGTGCCTCGGAGAGCACGTTAAGCCGTCGGTCCTGCGCCTTAACTTTCACTGGTCGTGTCGAGCAGTCGTCCCACCGGAGTATGAGAGTGACAGGAATAGAGAGTGCACGTTGTGTCTGCGCGTACACTTGTGCACTATAATATCTCCTGCGCAGTTGGCTAGTCTCAATAAGATTGGCCGCCGTGGCCGGAATCGGTCAGGAGAACATCATTATTCTAAACTAATAATGTAGTAGTTGTTATTTTAATAAGTTCGGAGAGACAATATGATCCAAATCATCTATTTTGGAGGACAAATTTTTGAAATGAAACTTCTTTAGAATCGTTGTGATTTAAAACTTGTTGAAACAAAAATGCTGCACGAGAAAGAGACAAACACATAAATATACAGGATTAAGCCGGCGAATGAGAATGAGATAGAATACATCACACAGGAAATGAAAAATAATACTGAATAATATATATAAACCTAAATATAAAAATAAACCTATCCTACGGGAACCGTACATTTTTCCTGGATAAAAAGTAACGTATGTGTTATTCCAAACTATAATCTATCTCTGTACCAAATTTCGTCCAGATCTGTTCAGCCATTCTGGCATGAAAGAGTAACCAAACATCCATACTCACAAACTTTCGCATTTATATCTTTAAATTGGCATAACTTTTTTATTTATGAAACGATTGACATGAAACAAACACTAAACGTTAAGTGAAGCTTACCACTATATATTAGTGTAAACCACATCTAAATCGGATAAGCCGTTTCTGAGATACGCGTGCACAAACGCAGACAGATAGATAAACAAACAAAAATTCTAACAATCAGCGATCCATTACTTTTATTATTATATGTGTAGATAAAATATATAATAACTTTTAAACTACGTAAAAATAACTAAACCTTACAATTATCCTACTCCTGATACTCTTTATATGTTCATATCATTCTCTTGTAGTGAACTTTTCTGAAGTTTCACTTCTACCGTGAGTGAATTGCAACCTGTTAGTAATAACTTTTCGGCAATCATCGTTTCGATATGTTCCATACCAATCCACAGTTGTATCTACTGCTATCAAATTTTTGTAGAAAGAACACTTGGCGTCTCATCAAAACGAAGCTCATTAAGGTTCAACTTGTTATTAATCATTAAGAACAACCCGTGGTGTACTGTAGACTATAAATTGGTCATACACTTTAATAACAAGTTAAATGAGTTAGTGATTTCTAAAACTGAAGTTTAAACATTATTTTTACAGATATAGCTCCTACGCCAACTGAAGCCATTTGCAAGCACTTCAATGAGCTACGTTCGGATTTAGCACTAGCATTGGATTTGAAAAATGCATTAGCATCATATGAATTTGAACTTCAAGCCTTGCGACATCAATATGAAGCTCTTAATCCTGGAAAGGTACCTTTTTAAGTTACTTAGAAATAATTATATAATATTATCTGACAAAAGCCATAATATCAATTAAATATGTAAGCAAAACAACGCTAACAATTCATTCCAATATATAATATCACAAACAATGAAGAGCAGTTACTTGAGGTGACAGTAACTCCTTTATAATCTTTAATTTCTTCCATAGACAGAGAGTGAACTGAAAACGAATTTGGAGCCTTCTGCTCTTCTGTATTAATTGAACAATGATTAATAAAAATAGATTTTTAAACATAACCATTTTACATTCCATTATAATATTATTATTTTCATTAATATTATATTTTTTATATTCCATTTATAAATTTAAATTGGAATAAAAGACAGGTGTATTTTGTACATAATGGGAGTTTCTTGGTTGAATTAAAACCCCGAAGACAATACAATCTTCTCTTTATTCCTTGACAATATTCAAAACAAAAAATTAACAGACACGCGAGTTCAAGAGTGGCGACAGCCATATATATTTTTTACAGAGAAAGATAATAGACGATATTCGTAATGAGTGAAGTTAGTTTTACCAAAATGACAAATGACGTTAGTTACGAACATTTTTATGCGTTAAGCGCCTAAGGAAAAATCGTGAGCAAATTTATACAATACTACGGGATTTCACCATAGTTTATGCAGGCGCCAACATATTGGGTGCATGTTCACTTTCTCTCTTTCTAGAGAGTGGTTGATTTCATGTATTGCTCAGTCCATTCTCTGTCTATGATTTCTTCTCAGGTTCACCTTCTTTTAAACTATTAAATATTATTTTATGAGAATTTTTAATGTTTGTTATTTCAGACTTTGAGTATTCCAGCTTCAATATGTAACACAGACATAGAAGCAAAACCAATTGGAGAGATTATTGATGTAGTTGGTTCTCCAAGTGCACTAAATACCACAATATGATAGAGAAAAAACTATAAACTTCAGTTATCCTAAGTCTAGTTTTATTAATAAATATTATTAAGTGAACGATTTTGTTGTTAACTCCTAATTACCTTTTCCCACAGTTGAGGCATGCTTTATTTTTTAAAACTTTTTTAAAATTATATACAAATATTTTTTGGATCCTATTGAAATCAATGATAGTAATTTCACAGAAACATTCAAATCAACAAGAGATAGATGTTGTCAGAAAATATACTCCTAATATTATAAGAATTATTTTAACACCTATATCTATACATATAATAAAATTGACACCTATATCTATACATATAATAAAATTGTAACTAAGCTGAATCTGAACATTAAATATTCTTTGGAAAATCTTATTGAAATAGACATTATTATTGATCACAACAATTGTTTTCACAATTTTTGTCTGTCTGTTACCGCATCAGAGAAAAACCACTAGAGGGATTTTCATGTTTGGTATGGAGTCCGGGTCAACATATAGGATACTTTTTACCGCGGGAAAATATCTCATTTCTGAGAAAAAATACAAAAACTGAAATGTAAGAGTATACTAATATGTAAAACCTAAGAATTTGGTTTTTAGTCATCTGAACGCGGGCGGAGCCGTGGGCAATGCTAGTTATTTATAAATTTTGATGTATTTGGTGAGAGGAACATTCCAGAGATTTCATCAGATAACATCATAAAATACCTATTTTGAAATTTGTGTTGTTTTTTTACTAAGTTACTAAACTTCCCCGTAAATCCCTCTTTCCTGAGTCTTAAGTAGATTAAGTAGATGAATTATTAAACATCTAGAAAAAATAAAATTAAGAATTAATGTTATGATCTCTATCTTTACTAATATAAAGAGATAAAGTTTGTGAGTTTGTAACGTTGTAATCTCTGAATCTACTGAACCGATTTAGATGAAATTTGGCAAGAAGATAGTTTGAGACCCTAGGAAGGACATAGGATACTTTTCATTCCGGAAATCATCCCTTAAGGGGGTGAAAATGGGGATGAAACATTGTATGGGGAATTAACTCAGGGACAAACCCAGGCGAAACGAGGGTGAGTTGCTAGTATCATTTATAAACTAACAAATGCTGACTGCCTCTAAACTACTAATACTATTGTTTCATGCCTCACCGCTGACGATTTGTTCAAATCCAAACCCTAGAGAATATGAAACTATTAAAAGTAGCAAGGATTGACCTATATTTCAATATAATTTTACATTTCAAAAGTATTGTTTTATGAATAAATGATAGAAAATGAAACGAAAAGATAGTAAACTTAATTTATTATTTAAATTATTACTTATCATATAAAATAAGGTTTAGACATTTAACTCCTCTATATAGCTCCTTTAGGTGCTCCATATGCATCTGGCATCCTCTCTATAGTGTACTTATGTTGAGCTACATACATAATTGGCACACCGGGTATTTTTCTTATCCTACGTTTTAAATCTTTGTCATTAGTAGCAACTATGTAACATTTATGTTGGGTTACTCTTTGTACTATACAATCATCGGCATATGTTCCTTTATGTAAGCAAGCAAGTCGTTCAATCCTTGGATCCTTGATTATTCTCAATGCAACTCTATATTTTCTACCTAATTTTTCTAACTCACCTAATACACAGTCTGTTACGTATGGTATGCACTTGGCATACAAACAGTCCATCATGTTTTGGACAATATCTAATTTATTTTTTATTGAGAAATTGATAAAATTTGTATCTATCAAAATATGATATGGAGGTCCTAGTTGAGTATTATATTGGAAGAATAAGGCGGAACTTGCTTGTGGAACTTCTCTAATTTTAACCTCGTGGGGATCAACTTTCTTCTTTTTTTTAGGGTCTTCTCTGTCTTTGGCTTTTATTCTATTGTCACTTGGACTAATCAGCTTTTTCATTTGTGCAAATCTTTTTTCTACTATTTTTCGAGTTTTACGTTGTTTTCCCTGCAATATTATATTTTATTAGATGACTAGAATATTATGGTAAACACTTTAAAGTACAATAGAAAAAGCATTGATATAACTTACCATGGTAACTTAAACTATACTTTTAATATAAAAATATATTTCCCTCTTATACTTTATAGTACCTACAATAAAATCTTTCAATTAAATTTATGGGATTTAAATTTTTCTAAGCGTAGGCCGACACGTGAGTATATTTGACTGTCATCAAAAGTCAAAACTTCTCAATTCTCATTGACATAAGTAAGACATTTGACATAATATGACATTGACTTTTAAATAGTCAAACGTTCTAAACAGGAATCTTAAAGCATAGTGCCCTTAGATATATGATATAAAATAATTAAAAACCATAAAACAGAAGAATTCTTAGTGCTTACGGAATTAATGAAAGACAGACTACTACTCATTAAAAGTGTTATGTGGACTACAATGTCACTTTATCAGTCCCAACCATAAACACAGAATTGATTGAGCATTATCCTTCTTCATTCTACCCGACATTGGCGAAGTAAATTGTGCCCAACTAGCACTCCTAGAAGTCATGAAGCAAAAGAATTGGATTGAATCCTTGTAAAATTGATCGCTTTCGAAAAAGAGAAAAAGCGACCGTGCGGCCAATTCTAACTTGAATTAATAAATTGAATGTCATTTATAATACAGAGTAACAGAAAAATGGCTATACATATTATCAGCTATTTTAACCACTAGAACCCCGCGTTTTATGACATGCAACACCCGTTAAACACTGAGCCCGTGCGTCATTTTGTCCCGATACAACCATTACATAAAAAAACACTGATGATTCAAATTATATAGCATCGATATTTTTTTTGGGTTTTTTTTGGATGTTTTGGGCTTTTAAATAATATGAGCATTTACGAAAATATATACAATACACTTTAAAGTATGAATGAATTATTTATAAGCGAAGACAATATATATCAGTGTCAGTTGTAAAATGTACTAATTGTTGTATTATATTGATTACTGATCTGACAGTACCAGGATATATATTTACGCTAAATTTAAAACACTAATATATGAATAAACATGTAATCGCACAAAACCATTTCTTGATTTATTTATATTAGTTGTTAGTTACAATTAAATTCAAAACCTTATGCCTTCGCGGCCCTTTTGTTGTATTTGCGCAGCTCACCGCGCAATTTTCAAAACTATCATCCGAGTTATAATGTGTGAATTTTTAATAAAAATGATACTAAAATACAGAATAGTCTTACTTTAAAAACATGCACCAATAAATCTTGAAAATAAACCACTGTAATTAAAATTCGGATGGATTTTTTATAAGAGAGATAAGTTAAGGTTATTTTTTATAGACGTGTTGCATTGTAATTAACGTTTCTGTATATAAATTTAGCTTAAATTATAAAAGAACAAGATAAGCATTATGACATAATATATGAAAACTTAGCACTTTTCATTCAAAAAACTTAATATTTAAACATGTGAAGTTGTCTAAAATAATGTACTGATAATAATATTTTGATGCGTAGTGATGCTGTACCCTACAAGTTGCAACACTGAAAATTATCGATTATTTTCGTGAACGGTTAAGCACAATTACAATTTTTATATTTGTTTATAACAATAAAAAAGTAAGTACCTATTTAAAAAATCTAAATGGGTGCAATAAAATAATGTAACTTTTTGGACAAATTAGATTCAAAATCATTAAATATAAAGTTTTTATAAAAATATAACATAAATAAAATTATTATAAAAAATCGATTAAATGCGAGAGTACAAGTTTTGGCACGCAAGTTAGCCTGCTCTCGTAGCATGAAAAAAATAATTTATGTATTTTAATATATTACGCAATATATTACTAAAACAGTAACATATTATATTATTGATTCATATACTCTTTTCATGAGTAGTATAACTTAATTTATATTTTATTGTATTTCTATGACAAATAGAGTCAATTTTTGTATGTAACAAATGCCCGTAGCTAAAAATATACCAAATCTCAAAAACTACTCACATATCTTCTTCAAATAATAGTTTACGTTAAAAGTATATAAAAAGAGAAATATCTATCTTAATTTAAATATTTATACCGTTTCTATCCCTATCTTTTTATTTTTAAAATAATAATTTAAGGATGAGAATATTAATAATATTGCTCTTATAGTTTTAGTTTCTTCTAGTGTTAAACAATTTGAAAAACACTATGTGTTCAGCCCTTTTTAACGTCGCACTGCTGGGCACGGGCCTCCTTTCAATACGACGGGGATCAGGCCACCCCCCTCGAGGCTCGGAAAACACTATAAGTACAATATTTAGATGAACACAATACAAATTCTCAAAAAAATAAACAAAAAAGACTTTAATTTACTCTAGATGACTGTCTACTTTCTAGCCAATATTCGAAGTAACCATGTATATTTACAAAAAATAATTTATTTGTATATATGTACTTCTATGTCCTACCATAAACACAGTCTCCTCCTGAACCTCTCAAATGGTAGACACAAGTTTTATACATAATATACACTCATATGTTGCCAACTTTGTCTTTGGAGTCCCACGTATTATAAAGCGGGCGTTTTGCACATTACTTGGCACTTTCCTAAACTATTATTACTGAGTATTTTTTCCAGTAGAACAACTCAATAATAGACATTACTACAATAGCTTTTTACACTATTATTAGACTGACGAGACAGTCAAGGAACGCTTATTTTATTGCAGACTAGCGACTCACCCTCGCTTCGCTCAGGTGCGTCCCTAGGTACGTTTTAACGATTAGCGTGGAATAGATATAACTTATTTTCCCGTAGGAACGAGATAATCTCCCATGGCCTATGTCACTCTCTAGCCCTCTAACTATCTTCACAAAAAAAACACGACAATCTGGCACTTCATTTCGACGTGAAAGAAGGACAAAGTTTTGTGCTTAGCAACATTTTGCCATTCATTTTTATTTTTATAGATATAGACGAGCGTCTTTGTATTCCTATTATAGTGTAGTATATTTATATCTACTATGTTTCATAAAACATATGAATATTTTATTTTGCATTTTATTCTCCACCGTGTCTAACAAAAAGCAAAAAACAATCCTACTTTTTCAACATATATTTATATCAAAATATCGATATTATCGATAACACATATGGACATTTGTGAATGTCTAACTGGTCTTTGATGAGAGTTCAAATGTGTCAAATTTTACGGCTTATAGGTTTATTTGTAAATAAACATATTTTATACTATAAAACTATTGAAAAATGCTGAAAATATGAAATTATATTAGTTTTTCTTTATTGATTTACCTTCATCAGGCATCAAATCAGAGAGTACCTAATAGTCAAAATTCATGTTAAAAAATGACGACTTATTTTACGGATTTTATACATCAAATTTTGTTGGACCAAAAAAGTAATGTTATAACGTGATTATACGTATTGTATTAGTATCTCAATAGTGGCAAAGAATACTTACTAACAATGAATAGTCATATGTTTAAGACACAAGTTCACTAGTTTAAAGATATTAAATTACACAAAAACCATAGCGAATCGCGCGCGCTTTACCTGAAATTCAAACAATTTTTGACGCGTTTATTTGTAACGTTGTCGGCATTTAATTAAAATTTTATTTTTTATATACTTCATAAAACTTTTAAAGTTTGCGTATATCACTCATTTAGCATAAAATAAACTGATTTCGTCTTGTAATAAGTGATAAAAGTGCAGCGGGCGAGATGGTGCCTATAGACACCAGCGGGGTTTGACGGTAACGCCGGAAGTGGTGCCAGTAGGCACCAGCGGGGTTCAAGTGGTTAATAATTTGTATTTTAATTCATAAGGAACACTGCGAGCCGCACATTCATTCAAACTTCTTCGTAACTTACAAGCCATAGAGTATGTAACCCTTTTTATCGCAAGCTAGAACAGTCCTTTGACTTCTCGGTAGGAAATTTTGTAACCGTAAACAAAGATAGCATTTCTAAATTTCATCATCATCATGACATCCACTTCTAAATGAAAACTTCCCTGATCGTCACTATAAAGCCTCCTACGTTACAGAGGCCCGGCCCCCGGAGGTAGTGGCGTAACTAGCCTTTTTGGGCCTCAATGCAAAAAAAAATTAAGTGAAAAATGCATTCATAATTGAGGTAAATGGGGATGGGGGGTGGCCTATCTATATAAACTAGTGATCGCCCCGTGGTTAAAAATCAAAATCAAATATAGATAGCCTATAAAATCCGAAAAAATTTTGAAACGGGCCGCTAGATTCACAAATTTGCACTTACAGGCAAACAAACTTTTCATCTTTATATTATATAAATAAAATGCGCAAGCGGATCGCGGGTAAAAGAAAGTCAATTAATTTTGGCTTTCTTCACTCCTTCTCTATATAAACTTTAACTATGCCAAAGCTCATACTTCTCCGCACATGCAATAGGTATGTTTAAAAAGGGGTTCAAAGTTTTCGCTTCACGTAAGATAAAAATCAATGCCGTTTTTCGTCCGTTAACCGTTATACACTTTTTCTTGCTGTTTTTTCAAGCTTTTATGAGGGCCGTCTCGGACCCCCTTGAATCAGTGACCGCTTGCGAATGCGTTGGTTGCGTTGGCATAGCTACGCCACTGCCCCGAGGCATTCAATAAAGAAGGTCTTAAGATCTTGTGGCTGATCATTTATTTATTTATTTTGTATTTTGCAAACGTATCAGCTAGAAATTTCATTATATTGTGGGTAAATTTTTCCTTGATATAAGGAGGCCCCCGAGCCCCGGTTACTCCGTACTAAATCCGGCCTACTACATGAATATCTACAAAATTCTCATCAAGAAGCTTTTTAGAATTTCTATTTATTGATGATATGACAAATAAATATCTGTTTATTTATATACTTAATAATGCCTTTAGCCTTTTAGTTTTTTTTAACCTTGGGAAATGCTGAAACTCTAGCCTAGGCACTAATTGTTTTTAATAAATAATTGACACAGATGATCACGTTCTGTTAACAAAGTTGTAAGTTAATCATAGGAATTTAGTGCCTACAATTACTGTACTGCTGTTGAAAAGTTTAAAACTACTAATAAAGTTTAATGCAAAAGAAACCCAGTTGTAAAGCTGTAATAAATTATAGTTTCAAATTATTATTGAGACGGGGTTAGTAATCATAATAAGTAGTCCACACATTAAAGTTTACTCTAGAAGTACTATATAATAACTGTAGGGATTCCTAAATTATTTTGTTATAAAATTAGGTTTGTTCATCAAAATGGCGCAAAAACATTGTTATTATAGTTATTTTTATTTCGAAATTTTCGTGGGTCGTGCGGCATTGTAATGGAAATAACAGGGATAGTGCAGTCGTAACCGCAAGTTGGTCGTTTATATACGTCGGCTGTCGCTAATTTATCCCATAACTTTGTGTTTACTTTACGAGAACACTCCCAAAATGTGGAAACTTTTTTGCGTGAGTCTGAAATTTTATTTATTTATACCTAATATTTATTTTAATCTGTCTTAATACTTGTTTTTATACTTTAAAATCCAGGTAACATTATTAGCTTGGGTGTCGTTGAAATCTTTTACTACTGGACAAGAATATCTTCCACCTAAAGTAAATACAGGAGGCGGTGGCAAAAAGCCCATTGTTGAACCAACTGTGAGAACATTTTTTGTTTATTATATACCTAACCGTATGTACTGTCTGTATGTTTATTGAAATCAAACTTGTAATTGATGAGTTTATTTTGTAGCTACCAGCAAATTACGAATTTACTTACGACGTTCAAGACAATGCTGTTTCCTTAGACTTTGGTCATAATGAAAAACGTAAAGATGAGCGTGCTCAAGGTTCCTACCATGTGCTTCTACCTGATGGTAGAACTCAGCTTGTAGAATATGAAGCTGGTCCGGACGGTTATCGGCCACAAGTAAGTTTTAACATTAATTAATTGAGTTATAAGTTGCCATTTATATACCGACTCGCTCGGAGTTCGGTCACGGCCTGGTCGTAGAGGTTTGATCCACAAGTGATCAATCCATACGTGTTCGTGTATCATACAAAAGGGTGCGCCAGACGCCCTAGTAGATTTGATTTCACAGGACCGCAACTGAACTATCTAGTGACATAGTGTCTAAGCAACGCGGAATTGGTTCGAGGCAAGTTATGTCAGAGAGCGCGAGAATCGAATTAGAATTCATGTAGTTAAATGTCCTGCTTTTATAATATAAAACATTAAGGACATTTTTAAATATAATGCTTTTTAAACGCAAGAAAATATGTAAAAAAGTCAAATCAAATTAATGTTTTAATGACTCTGTTAAATTTTAAAATTCAAAAAACCTTTTGCTTTCATTTTTAATGACATTTACCTATTAAGAGTGTAAAAGCCGGTCCAGTTCGAGGCGGACTCGATACGAAGCGTTCCATACCATCTAAGACATACCTAACGCTATGTACTAATTGATTTTTTTAAGCGGCCATTTTGAAATTCGCCATTTTGGTTTCTTATTATTTGTTGTTATGTGGGCAATAGAAATACACACTCTGTGAAAATTTCAACTCTACCTATTACGATTCAACAGACACGACCCGCTGACAGACAGCGGACGGACAACGGAGGCTTAGTAATAAGGTCCCGTTGCACCCTTCGGGTACGGAATCCTAATAAAAATGGTAAAAACACTGAAAATATTAATGTTTTGTAGATAATGTATATGGGCACAGCAACATATCCATCGCAGACCGGCGGCGGAGGAGGAGACAAGTTCGATGGATACCATTACAATGCAGCTTCTAATCGCCAAAGTACCAGACAAGCAGCGCCCCGCGGCCGGCAGCCGGGACCCGCCCCCTCGCCCGCGCCCGCGCCTCCCCTACTATATGTAGCAGGCAATGCGACACAATGAAAACAGATAATATATAATTTTATAGACCTTCCTACTTCTAACATAATATATCTATGATTATTTCTATTTATTTATTTTTATTAGCAAAAAATTTAGAGCATTGCTTAAAAAAGAGAGAAATTATAGGACATACGTCCTACGTAAGTAACGTACGTACGTAAGTGCGTATTCGGTACTAAATATATATATAAAATCAAATACTAACGTTCATGGTATGGAGCAGCAGCCCAAAGGATAAACGAAAATTATGTATCATTTTTATAAGTATGTTATTATAGTTATTTTCACAATGCAATGCATTCAATATTAATTGTATTGATATTTTTTTAAATATATGTAGGTATATATATTTTAATTTTTGCAATACTATTGTTTATTCAAAATCATATTTTATACAGAAAGTAAGTTTTTGGAAACCTAGCCCTGCGATTGAAACATATTAATTGTAGGTAATTTATTTATTTTGAAGGGACAAAGTTAAATCAAAATTATAAAATGAAATAAAAAATTGTGAATAAGCAAAAAGGGTTTTTTTTTTCAATATTTTAAGATATGAATATCTAATAGGTAAATATGTATTTTACGTATCGAAATATATTAGATTTGCATCGTCTGACACCGACTTCGAAAATATCTGATTAAGTATCTATTCTAAATGAAAGCCTTCGTTTAGTTATTTTTTACATTTTAGTGCCTGGAAATCGGTTTTTATTTTTTGTTAAAAAGTTTTTATTTAGTAGAGTTATTGGAGTTGTCTATCAAGAAATCTTAGAAACATCCCAGATTTGGTAAGTTGGCGGTGTTAGACCACACCGTGCTGACTAATCAGTCTGAGCTCGTAAATCCATCTCACCGGTAGTCTCGAATATCGTCTTTTAGGACGATGAGAGTGAGAGAATTACAGACTGCACTTGCGTTTGCGCACAAACGCACTATTATTCTATACATAAACGTTAAAAAAAACATTAAAAAAGATAACTATGAATTTATTGTACTATACACTTACATAAGTCACACAATAAATAATTACACAATCAAATGGTGTATTTGTTACATATTTGGTACCAACATAAAGCTATGAAGCGTGAATGATGTCTATATTTTGGTCAGGCCAATGAACACGGCGGTGTGTAGAGCTACTTTCAAAACCCACGTTGTCAAACGAGTGATAATCTTTCTGCATACTCATCTCTGCTAAATTCCTATATCTGAAACATAAAAATAAAGAAACAATAGAAAATAGTTATATTTCTGATGTTATATTAAGTTTATACTTTATTCTATTGTACCTACCTACTTAATAATTAAAAAATCTTTGTAAAATTCTCATCTAATATTTATGTATTACATACAGTAACATCTACATCTGAGATCTGAACTCAAACGATTTAAACCTCAAATTAAAAAAAAAAAGTAAAATCCCATAAAAGTACAAACATGCCTAATATGAACGAATTTCAGAACCTCACTTCGATTCGTTGGAATGCCCTTGTGTTATCGACTCCGTTATAACAACTTCTACCCTGGTGGCTAGTATCCCCTATAGATCAGGATAAAATAAACTTTCTAGAAGATAAAGAGTAAATGGAGTAACCTTTTAACGAGTACACAACACCCGAGAAGTAAGAGCACCTGTACAGCGAGCCACGCCAGCGCGAGCGCCACCAGCAGCAGCTCGTGCACGCACACCATCGGAGTGTCATTCACATGCACGTCTTCAGCTGTACAGGTAATAATGAGTAATCTATACATATAATAAAATTGTAACTAAGTCGAATCTGTACATTAAATATTTTTTGGAAAATCTAATTTGAATAGACAATGTTATCGATATAGAGTCCGAATCTATAGTTTTTAGAATTTTAGTCTGTCTGTCTGTCTGTCCGTCTGTTACCGCATCACGAGAAAACCCCTGGACAGATTTCGATGAAATTTGGTATGATGATAGCTGGTTATCCAGGTCAACATATAGGATACTTTTTACCGCGGGAAAATATCTCATTTCTGAGAAAAAATACAAAAACTGCATTGTAAGAGTATACTACTATTGGACTAACATCCCGCTGCAAGATTGCTACGTTCATAGCGTCTCGATCCATATGTAAAACCTAAGAATTTGGTTTTTAGTCATCTGAATGCGGGCGGAGCCGCGGGCAATGCAAGTCAAATTAATAAAAAACTTCAATTCAATTCTTTGTTATGTGGCTTCTAGACGTGCCAGTTAGGTACAGATTACTTCGCCAATATCGTGTAGAATGAAGAAAGAAGTTCTAAATCTGGCGATTTTTTTATGTCAAATTCATAAGAGGTATATTACAGTAGTCTGTCTGTCTGTAAGCCTGTGAGGTACGGACATCGTTACTGTAATATATGTTTGGTTTATTCTGAGATGTGTCGCAGAACGTGAAAAAGTGTGCACCTTATTCCAACCAGTTCATATTTATTATATTACAACGAAATACAAAAAAAATATACATTACGAGTATATTATGACTTACGTAAAGCCGAACGATGATCAGCTCGTACTAAAGTATCAGCAGACAGGATATCCCTCGAACCAACGACCATTTCCAGTTCCAGCGGCACCCTCCCCGCGCCGCCCGCGCATTGCGCCCGCCCGCCCTGCGCCACCACTTGGGGCGCCCACCTTACCTACAAAGCAATTATTATATCAAAAACTATTATATTTAAAAAATACGTAGGTTTGCTAGGCCCGATGAAGGTTTTACATAATTCAAATATACTACAAAACTCCATATAATATTTTCCACAAACGAATGACTACTTTACACAAAATAATGAAAACTACTTTCGTATTTTGCAATATTTTATCAAAAGATGTTTCTGCTTAATAACCACGGAATCTTTAGATCCTTTCGGGTTTCGGGGAAAGTCCATTGGCCGATTTCACCAACGTCACCTAAGTTTAAGGGATCCCCTAAGCATGGTTAGGGGGGGTTAGGGGACAGTTTCTGTTTCACCGACAGTTAGGGGTCACCTAAATGTTAAAATGCCACCTTAATATACCTAGATACTAGAAACACGGGCTCTGATGATGGTAAAACGGAATTTAATTTAGGGGCTAGTTTAGGGGAACTTTTAGCTAGGGATCCCATATGTAGGTGGTAACCTTATGGGATGATGGTGAAATCGGGCATATGTCTTTCTTGGCGATTACCGAAGTATTTATCAGCGGTATTGTTAAAATCGATTCTATACAAAATTGTAATAATGTTGAACCCGGTCAAAATTACTATAGCAAATACTTAGTACATATAATAAAAAAGTATGAGTTGTGTGAGCTACATAACTGCCTTTTACTACTCTCCTTAAATAATATTACATTAAGTAAAAATATTTAAATTACTTAAAATATATTTAGAGTCAATAGTGAAGAGTGAGAAAAAAATGTTTTTCTTGAAGTTATTTATTAAGTAGTGAATGCCGACCTCCTGTTTGACAGCCGCAGCAAATTCTGAATCTGTCGTCTCGTACGTTTCATTGGTGTTTCGAATGTTTCTCAGTTGCTTCATTTTACCACAAATCAACTGAAATAATATATTTTTTAAATAAACACAGAATACACACAGAAATAATATTTATCTATAGGAAATAATCTTATAACTCCATAGTAATCGATTATCTAAATGATTAATATCGTGAATCGTGATACACTTATACAATAAATCAGCTTTATACAATAAATATGATATGACATTCGCACATCCATATTATAATATTATACATGTGAAAGTGTGTTTGTTTGTTTGTCCTTCTTTCACGACGAAACGGAGGGACGGATTCGCGTAATTTTTGGGGTGGAAATAGTTGGAGGGCTGGAGAGTGACATAGGCTACTTTTTACCGCGGGAGATTATCTAATTCCCACGGGAAAATACGTTATAGTACAATAAAAAAAAACGAATTCATAATTTCAGAATTACTTGAATCTTGGTAATAATGCTCTACAAAAAAAATAAATATGTGTTTTAGCATTTTTCGAAATTCATTACAAAGGGGGTAAAATAGGGGATGAAAGTTAGGATGAAACTACCTTTGTAGAGATTTTTTTGTAGTTTTAGCGCCAGCGAAGCCACGGGTTCTGCTAGTAAAGACTAAGACTATGAATAATTACTAGCTAACTTAAATACCTGCGGCTCTGTCAAGAACAAATCGTAGGCATTATTAATTACATACATCCCTTATTCTTATAATACACCTACGAGATTATTATATTGGGTGTACTACAGCCATTATGATAGCAAAAGACACTGGCTGCCTGTGCGCAGTAAGCCTTAGAGCCCGGCGGTAGGGAGATCGATTCCTCATTCCAGATATTACTTTAATATGAGTAATAAAATATCCTTTTTAGTCTAATAAATATAAAACGAATTTAAAAATATACCGTCATTGACTTTGTACATCTAGCAGTTTGCCTGTGACGAATCAGTCGGGTGACGGATCAACATATTATTGAAACTTACATAATAATTATTAATTAGATAACTTGTATTCTAAACACGGACTCTTATATCTGATTTTTAGCCATAAAATAGTCATGTTTACCGGTTGGCATTTATCTTCACAGAATCGGACCATTATTGCAAATCGCACGACATGTGATGTAGGAAAACGGAACGCTTTGAATCGAGCTGACAATCTTTGCATTCCTCCCAAACGGGATCTTGTAAATGATGGAAAATCAACCTGTTGATTAAAAAATTTAATGACACACCCATAGAAAGGAAGAATTAAAAAACAATTAGCTTATAAAGAATAAATTATGTCATGAATTCATATTCATTTCTGATATATTTTTTAAGTAACAAGGTTTGTTTGTCGATCAATATGGTATGTAGGTATGCCGATGTCTACTGTACAATAATTGCCTTGAATATAACGAGAAAAAATTCCCTCGTTATATATATATATATATATATATATATATATATATATATATATATATATATATATATATATATAGTATATATATATAATAACAATATTTTCATTAATCTTCTAGAAACTATAGTTTAACAATTTAAGGCATTTTGTGAATACGTTCTATATAATGAAATAAAAATATTCACTACGTAAAATACATATTGATAGGTATCTAATGTATATAAAATATTAGATAGGTAGGTAAAATGTTATGTCCCGACTGACTGACGGATCAACGTACTGCACAGCCTAAACTGCTGGTCGTAGAAATATGAAATTTGGTGGGCGTATTCCTTATACAATGTAGGCATCCGATAAGAAAGGATCTTTCAAAATTCATCCCCTAAGGAGGTAAAATAGGGGAGAAAAGATTATATGAAACTCTGTTATTCTTAATGTGAAATGTACGGAAACTGGTATTTAGTTTTAAAATAAAAAATAAGAAATATATTTATTTGTTTTTTTTTCGAAATGCATCCTTTAATATTAAATAAACCCAGAACAAGACAACACATCCACCAATGTGGTATATTTGTGGTTGGTTTATTAGCGTAGACTAAGTGAATCTAGAGTGATTACATAATGAACGCATCATATTAAAAATTCTATATGACAACATACAAATGGAAATTAAAAATGAATAATTTTATCACATGTGAAGGTATATCGATAAGAAATAACATAAACCACGAACTTATTTTTGCAAATAATAAAGTTATATATTTCGAACAAGTTTGTTTCTTTCGTAGTTTGGTCGCGGGCGAAGCCGCGGGTTTTGCTAGTATAATATATAAATGTAAATGAATACCTGTCCAGTGGGACATCCCCTGCTGTCTAATAGTAAAACGGAACTATCACCCAACCTTGAGGAAGCCACTAAATGATACGCCTCTATTTCAGACTCATCTGTAATCAAAATAAAGCCATTTTAAATGCAATCCTCAAAATTAATTATTTAATGTATTTAATTTGTTTTCAAGACCATTTTTCGACCCTCTCTCTCTCTCTCTCTCTCTATATATATATATATATATATATATATATATATATATATATATATATTATAATAATAATAACTAATCACGTTAAAATCGATATAGTCATTTCGAAGTTTTTTAGGGCAGGCGATAGATACACCGAAATGCAAATATTTTAATTGTTTTTACATAAATAAATATATCTAATATAAACTTAATATGTAACATTTTTATATGACATATAGTGGACTTCCATTTTATTTATAAGTATGGATTTGAAAGTCAGTCTGTGTCGATTTTATTAAGCAACATGCTAATTTGTAATTCACGTGGCACAGTTTAATCAGGCCGATTATAATATATTTTAATGCATATTTAAATTAATACAAAATAAACGTAGAGAAGTCAAAGATTTCAATCGTATCTTTGACGTAATTAACATTTAGTTTTCGGAGAAACAGTCTTAATCTACGCATAGGTCTTATAGAAACAAGTTTTAAGTAAATGAGAAAACAAAACTAGCTATCTATCATTTACAAATTATTATGTCATCTGTACAAGCCATATTTATATTCTTATTCGACGAAAGTCCTAACGCATTACGACTTCCAGAACAGAAGGTGTCAGAACAATCGGATACAAACGCACTAACACTTTTTTGTAGTAGGTATATAAACATTTTAAAACTAGCGACTCAATCTTTGTTGTCGTGGATGGAGAGGTAGACAACTTCGTTAAAAATTAGTACTAATTTCAAAGGTGGACGAATTAAGGGGATCTCAGTGGTCGGAGAGGCTTTTCTGTTCGGAAAGAGGTACATAACCACTGTATGTAGGTACACAAGTGCACAAGTGTACGCGCAGACCAAGTGCACTCTCTATTCCTGTCACTCTCATACTCCGGCGGGATGACTACTCGACACGACCAGTGAGAGTTAAGGCGCAGGACCGCCGGCTTTACGTACTCTCCGAGGCACGGTGATGGAACACCGCCAACTTCCCAACTCCGGGCAGTTACTGAGGCTTACTATACAGAAATACTTAATAACTAAATTTGGCCCACCCGGGACTCGAACCCAGGACCTCCGGGTGTGCAGCCGTACATGCTAGCCACTACACCACCCAAGCAGTTGTAGTACATATGTACAGGTTATCACCTGCAATACTAAATTTCAAGGCCAATACGTAGCCGATAAGTACAAGGAACTGTACCTGTAGTTTCAATTCTGAGTTCAAGTAGTTCTCCTAATGATACGGCATCAGTCCCGGAGTCGTCATGTGCGCGCACCACATACATAGTGAGAGGCGCTGACCCGCCCCCGAACACAGCGCTCGCCCCGTGCTCTTCCACTTGCTCATGCGATTCACTCGCCAGGGAAGGCCGCCTTTTACATATTTATGTAAAATATAAAAAATAAAGGTTTATAATAAATGAATCTGCTCTGTGTTATATTTAATACGTAGATGATAGCACATAGGTATGTCGAAATTAATGCAGTAGTCACCACATGCTATTATTTTTGTTTATGCTTTTGTTTCGCTATTCCGGGAATTATAGATACCTTAAATATGGACTCGAATACGTCAAATTACATAAAATAAATTCTTATTTTTTATATTATCCCTATCCTCTCCGTTAACTTTTAAAGCTATTCTACTCCCGGAATCTTGTCTCCTATGTACCTAATATTTTATAGCCAATTTCTGTCTCCTTAAAGTACGCTGCTATTTTACTTCATTGTATTAAAATTGGTTAAGTAGTAAAATCGTAAAAAGATTAAAAAAAACTAAGTTAAAACTGATATTGTAAAATTAGTGATTTTTATCCTTGTACAAAACGGTGACGTTACTACATTTTTATATACTTTTAAATATACTTATTTCACCATATATAATATGTACGTCACAACTCCAAAACATTCAACTCCAACAATATATAAGTACAATGTCAAATTCCACATAAATTGTGGTTTGATTATTTTGTTTTCATCCAAACATGAGAAGATTCTATGTTCGTCTGTATATATTTTTTTTAGTTTTATATATATTTTGTGTTCTTAGCGGTAACCTGGCAAATTTACTGGTAAATAATAATTTAAGATATTAAATATTTTTACTTTTTAAGGGGTTATTTCTGGCATAATCTTTTAATTGTCCAGTAATTAATAAATATTAACAATCATACCCGTTGTCCTGCACAGCAACAGTGGCGTCCACTTTAGTGTACCCTCTTACCCCGGCGCCCGGAGAACATCCCACACGCACCCAACGGTCACCCGCAGTCTGGATAATTGGGTTATTCTGGATCATCAGCATCACATATGCCATCGTTCTGTTTGTTTGATATTAATGTATAAGTAATAAATAATATATTTGTACATAATATATTTGCTTAAACTAATCAATATATAAGGAAGCATTTGCCCGCGGCTCCGCTAGCTTATCGCATTTATGGATTTATATTTCCAAAAATCCTTTTCTAGCCCATTCTCATACTCTAAATAGTCTTCAATGTATTGTCAATAATTTAACATCATCGTTACTACCCTTATTTCTCTCTATCCCCAAAAGCGTAACTTTAAAAATAACAGTTTGTCATACTAACTTTAAACCCCTTTTTTATCATAACCGCAGCCTTTGTGCATAGGATGCACTAAATAGTATCTAATGTGATGATTAAAAATCAATTCACACAAATCACATTTTTCCTTAAAGAATTAACCTAGTGTACTAGAGTCATTCAGTATCGATGCTCAAACCCACGTTTAGTCGTAGCCATACCAGAAAAACATGGTTATGTTCAAGAAAACGTAACTTGCTTATTTAATAACTGATATTTAATTTAAAATACAAAAAACAAAGTTCACCTGTTAACAACTCCTTTTGGTCCTTTACTAATAGCATATGCGAAGTTAACATCACAATCGCCATGCAAAGGTAGAGCTAGTCGAACAGACGCGGTTACGGTAAGAGGCCTCGCACTGCACCTCTCCCCGCGACCAGGTACATACACGCGTCCTCGGAATATGCCCCGTGGCTTGTAAGTAACGACTAGATGACTACCTTCACATTCAACACTAACTGAAATAAATCATACTATTTATCGCAGGCATAAAATATCCTGAAACATAAATTTAATACACTTAGGTACGTTTGAGCTCAGGAATCGTTTATAGGATTAAAAATTAAATGGTCAAATGAGTAACTTAAATAGAAATCCTTTTACAAATCCGCATTACAAATTAGTCATTTGGGAAGATTTATAGATATTATTGCTTGAATATGTGCAAATAATGCTTAGGTATATTTTAAATATATAATTTTTCCTTTAAAAAATATAAAAAATATAATAACTTAAAGTATATCTAACACAAGGAGTGGTAGCCCAGTGATAACGCGCTTGTTTGGAAAACCAAGTGAAACAGTTTCAAATCCCGGATCTCGCACCTCCTATATTCTTTCTCATCATTTTTAACATGATTACAACTTGCATACGGTGAAGAAAAACATCATGAGGAAACCTGCGTGCCTGAGAGAACTTAGCAAGTCAATCCGCACATGGCCAGCGTGGTGGACTATAACCTGATCCCCCTCGCATTGAAGCCCCTCACAAAGATGGGCCCATGCCCAGTAGTAGGACGTTAAATGGGACTAAATATATGCATACATATCTAACACAACTCACTGTTAAGGCAAACCACTCGACGGTAGTAGGTAGCGCCAGAGACTCGTCGCAGAAGCCACGAACCAGTAGTGACGAGGTCTTCGCTATGAAGATCACATAGTCCGCGCGAGCGAGCAACTGTCCATGTGAAACCACGACACACAAACCTTTTCTCATTTTCACATGCTGATTTACACTAAATATAATACAACATTAATAATAATTAATCGATCCATTCTGATTTTAAAAAATATATATTATATTTGTTATCTACTGCCTCAGGTTTCGTTTATTATTTATAATTACTTTATTCAAAAGTGTCAAGGTCGATCTTTGGATCTTTCGTCTGATATTATGTAAACTTAACGAAATTAGTGATTTCAAGTATACCAAATACGATGTGTTTTTACAAAAACGTGTGTAAGGAAAATGGTCAAAAAACTACCAATACGTATTGAAACACTTTCTACATACATATTTCACTAGGTATTTTCTATACATACCCGTATAATAAAATTGTAACTAAGTCGAATCTGTACATTAAATATTTTTAAGAAAATCTATTATATAATTCCCGCGGGAAAACACGTTATAATACAATCCAAAAAAATATTTATGATCAGAATTTCTTGAAACGTGGTATTAATACTCTTCAATAAAATTAAATAAATACATGTTGTAATTTTTCGAAATTCATCCTTTAAGAGGGTGAAATAGGGATGAAAGTTTGTATGGAACTACCTTTTTAAAGATTTTTCGTAGTTCTAGCGCGAGCGGAGCCGCGGGTTATGCTAGTTCTAATATAAATATTTTGTTTATTCTAAGCTTATGTTTTTGCGTAACAATTTCCTAATTTTCACTACTAATTCGCTTTCTGTTATCATTATGATCTTCATGTAGTCGTGAAGGATAAGTGACGCTACGGTTTGTGTTTTTTTTGCAAACATGTATGTAGGTAAATACATATAAATATTATAATAGAATATTAGTGAATTCCACTTAAAAACATTAAAAGCTCACAATTTGGTTACCTCATCCTTAGTATAATTATTCGCAGTCAAGTTCACGTGTTTTACTGTTTGATTGTAATACTCTTCGTATGAGCATCGGTCTATTTTTTTAGGATCTGAAAATAACGTAATTAAGTATACTTTTCTTATCATAATTACTGTCATACTGTCATACATGCAACCTTCGATCAACAGTAGTATTATTGATCGAAACATGCAACACACATTAAAGCAAATCAGTCTAATAAAAATGTAGATAATGATAAAAAAGTGACATAGGAATGCAGCTATGATTACTTAACATATGTTTAAATACCTCATACTCACAATCATGCCCGCATTGATTTTCTACATATATTGTGTAATAGTTCGACACGCGGTACGACTCGGGTTCCGTGAACTTATTTTCTCCGTTTAGAACACAATTTCCTCTAGCTGGGTCTGATAGAACAAATGTTTCAGATGCGCTATGAGGATCAATCCATTGCGCAGATCTATGAGAGACAGGTTTTTAAAGTAATAAGTAGTAAACTCTTGCTCTAAATATCCATAATTGCTTAAATATACATCTTAAGAGATTAACTTAATTTAAAAAAAAACCGTAATAATAGAAATACCGGTAAAGTTTTTCATTCGTAGAGAAAATCGCATCGTAACATTCTTGGACTGTCGTATTTAGTATGATTTTAATATTTGGACCTTCGGAATTGAGATAATACCCTGGTGTACTTTCTAGGGACCACCAGCGATTAATGCAATTATCTGGTACTGCAAAAAATCAATTTAGTGAAGTAGTAAAATAATTATTCATACAATGGCAAGCAATAATTAGACAGGTAAAACCTATCTGGTCTAAAACTACTTACACTTCAAACAAACTTTTTGGAAGTAAACCACGTCGTTTTCTGAATGGAATTCTGTCGAAAGGGAACTAGCGATCCCTTGACAGTTTCCTTTTCCATAAGCCACGATCACCGCAGCACAGTCTTCAAGCTCCCTACATCTTGCTAAGCAAGCTCCAGTCAATGACTCCTCATCTCCGCTGGCAGAGTATACAAAGACCGGGATCGCCTTTTCTGGCGCCATTCCCGACCAACGTGTGAACGTCTGTGACTGAGGTTGGAGGCATTTTGGTTCACTACCTATTTTTTGATAATTGTTTCATTATATTTTAATAATGATAGAGGTTGTCATTAATTTTTTCATCATATTTTTTAAAATGTTATGTTGCGAGACAATATCATAAGTTAAGTGGACTGGATAACATTTCACATACCATGAATCATCCTCATCTAATGACCAATCCCTCTCTCGCCTAATGAATAGTATTGAATAAAATGTTGAAATGATCTTGTTTTTCTCTACCTATACTTTAATAAAATTCTAGCGGTAAGTTCTTTTGCGACATAGCCTTTGCTTTCGCTATAAAGTAGAGCTATCATAATGTTATACGGTACAAGTTAATTTATTATTCATCTATTACCTATTTGTATCCAAGATTTCTTCATGCCTTATGAGTTATGTGCATATAAAATTAAAAAAACATATCACGGTATAGTATTATATGATCTGTGATATCACTAAAAAAACAGCTTTAAAACGAGTTTTTTATAAGTTAGTTAATTATTTAAATTAAAGTTTCATTTTAATGAGTCTAATAGACAAAACACAGCTTTAATTTAAGATTTTGTTTAGTTCTTATAAAACAAATATAACACACGCCACTTTTATTTACTCTACTTTATTTACTCCTGTTATTATGTCATATTCCTTATTTGATTATGTAGGTACGTAAATCACCCCGCAAGAAATAAAATAGTTCAAATTAAACGTTAATACGAGAGCACCTCACCTAAATATTTTACAAAATTAAATCAAACAAATGAAATTGAAGTGTCTGTTTGCAATGTCAAAATAACAGCTTTATACTTAATTCATATGAAATTATACATAAGTATACATTATACAGTACTTATAAGAAAAACACAAATTTTAAAATTTTTGTCTGTCTATTTGTTCCAGTAAATCTCCGAAACGGCTAGACTGATATTAACGAGACTTTCACTGGCAGATAGCTGATGGTATAAGAAGTAACTTAAGCTACTTTTATTTTAGTTAAAGAATTAGGGTTCCGCTCAAAAAAATTAAAATGTACCTAGGGACGCATCCGAGCGAAGGAAGGGTAAGTCGCTAGTATTTTTATATAAATATTCAATCGTATCCACAATAATACTTTCTTAGATTTACGCGAATGTTTGACATTATTAAATAAAACTATCTTTTCGGATTATTTCGCGGATTTATTTTGATTATAACAACTGTACATTCAAGACATGTAACACCTCAGTCTCTCCCGTGACCATGGATGCTGTAAAGCATTCGAAACGTCGGGAACCAAAAATCAAAATAAATCCGCGAAATAATCCGAAAAGATAGTTTTATTTAATAACGTATCCACAATATTTAGATTAGACCCTTAGGTAAAGAAAAACTCTTATTATGTAATTTTTGCGGAACAAGAATATAACAGGTAAGATAGGTATAGTTCTAACTTGTATGCTCCAAAAAATAAAAAAAGAAACAGCAGGTGTATAGTGGATTATTTTTAATAAATAAACATATTCGTATTAATTAATAATACTTAATTCGTCGTATTAGCACTTTACGATTTTCCTCCTCGTTAAATGTCACAACCACTTTTATTTTAAAAATAAATAATAAAAATACTTAAGTAAAATATATGTGTCTGTCGACTCGACGATCTGTGAATGTGATTGAAAATATAGTAACTTTACTAAACTAACTTACTACAGACCCTTGCATGATTCCAAAACTCAAAGTCAAATCAACCATTTTCAACTGACTTCCTCAAAAAGGAGGAGGTTCTCAATTCGGCTGTATTTTTTTATGTTTGTTACCTCAGAACTCCGTCATTTATTAGCCGATTTGGACAATTTTTGTTTTGTTTGAAAAAAAAAATCTTTGTATGGGCTAGCACCGACTTCAAAAATATTTGATTAGGTATGTATAGTAAATGAAAACTACCAATCAGTTATTTTTTACTTTTTAGTGCTTTTGTTTGAAGTCGGTTTTTATTTTTTTGTTAAAAAGTTTTTACTTTAATTGGTTGATTGTTTGATAACTAATCTTCGTAGCTGAAAATTCTTTCATTAAACGGGAGATAAGCGTTTTCATACAAGCGGGAGCCAGGAGTGACTCTTGTTGTTCCTGGTCTATGAGAGTGACATTTTTAATTCTTAAAAGATCAGTTTTTTTTTCTCCTAAAAACACAAAGAACTCCTATGCGAAATACCCTTCGCTTTTTTAGAATTCAATTTCTTCTGGGATGTCTGTCCAGTGAAACGCAAGATAGGTCAAAGATGTTTTTATGGCAATAAAAAACAAGGACACTGGCACAGTGACTTTTAAAAAAAATATATTAGTAAGATTATTGTTTTAATCGCATCACATCATTTGTTTACAAACATATTTTAATCGTCGAGATATTTTAGAAAATTTATTTTTCGAGTAAGGAGGATAAGGAATGAAAGTCTTCAAACAAATCAAATTAAAAAATAGATAACATGTGCAAAAAAACATTCAATCAAAGTTACCTAGTAAAAAAACTTAAAAGCTTTTTTCCTGCCTTTTAAATCAGTCAAAAAATGAGAAAAAATATTATTATTTTTCTTCACATTTTTTACCCATAGTGTAGCAGCTGCTATTTATTTTCATATATCAAGATAATAAATAACAGGTGGCAGCAACAGTACATGAGAGCAGCATCATCATCATTCGTTTTTTTTCGAAATGTTACACTAATTTTTTTCATACGATTTTTTATGAGTAGTACTTAATCTATGTCAAATGATTACATATATTTTTACAGTTTAAATTCATATGAATCGTTTTTCTCATCAAGCCCTTATTGACACATTTTCGATATAGGTTGCCATTAAGGGGCCGATTCGCCAATACTTATTCGGCTATGACTCTTTCAGTATATCCGGCCCATGGATATATCCAAAAGAAATTTTATTTTGGCCCTTATAGTTAACTTACTTCAATAACTGATGTTTGTAAGAATTTCATAGTATTTTATTATGCACTGAGTCATTGTGCGATCATTAAATAAAACCAAACCAGTTCCATGATCCATCCCATACGCGCAGTGTATAGGCGAGACTACGAGTGTCAACTCGTTATTTTGCAAATTTTTACTACTACGTTCAAATTGTAAGTATTACATATTTTTACAGCTTACATTAATTAGATATGTTTAATATATTAAATAAAACGTATAAAATAACGTATTAAAGATACATTTTCGTAGAAATACAAATGTGCGATTAAAAAAACATTCAAAAAATATGAAGACAACAAAGGTAACGCGCTTGTACATCGATATGTTAGGATGCTTTTAAAATTATAATATTCGTAAAATATAATATTAAGCCACTAAAAAGTCACTTAAAATATTTTTTTGTTATAAAAAAATAAATTAATCTAATCTGAATTTTCATTTTTTTATTAAGAATGAAAATTCTGATTATACTAACAACAATCATATTTTTGTGTGAAAATAATAATAGTATCTATATTTCTCTACGGAATTACCCGGCTCGTTTTTTTTTTGCTAGCATAGTGAGTGTAATTTTTGAACCATTTACTTTTTGAAATATATTATTAATTTCTTTATTTTGAGTAAGTACTAAGTGTATAGGGTCGTAGCATTGGCCTTGTCTTTTCTTACCTATAATTTATTCCATACTAGCGACCCTAAGTGCCCTTCGCATTAATTATAATATTACAGAATGATTTAATTATAATCTTAGAAGGGACCGAATTAATACAAGAATATTACTATATTATTACTAGTTAGGTTTGTTGGATGGGAAATTAAAGTACGTCCTTTGCATTATAGATATTAAATTATTTTAGCTTCAAGAGAGTTACTTTATTAAGTTTACATATTCATTATTTTGCCCCAACTAAATAAAAAAAACTCGAAATACGAAAAGTGAAATTAAGTATAAGTTAAGTGATACTGTTCGTCAGTAAGACAGATTAAAGTGAAAGAGAGTTAGCGCGTTACTTAACTGATTGTTGCCATGGTAACCGTTGTTATTGTCTGACAAATGATATACATATAATGTTATATTCTTTCTTTCCTTTCTTTCCATTGCGGCTACTTTTACATAGGTAGAGGTATTTTATCATGCACAGAAAAAAAATAGTTTTAATTTGATATATAAATTATGAATATATGCCATGAACGTATAAATGTAACAAAAAATATTTAATGACTCGCAACCACTTTTGCGGCCACTTTTACAGGTACAGGAAATATATCAAGTACAGAAAAAAATTAGCTTTAATTTGATATATAAATGATGAATATACGCGATGAACGTATAAACGTAACAAAATATGACCTGATTACACCTGGCTGCGAAGAGGTTGCGCCCAAGTGCGCAACGGCAGCTATCACTTTTCAAGATTTCTACGTATATTTCTGTGAACTTGGAGTATAATTCATTTTAATAACAAATGCATCGTTTTTGTTCCAAAAAGTCAATTATTATTCACTTAATTAAACATACTAGAGGGCACATTTTAATAGGCACCCCGGTCAAAACATATTGTCCCTTTTATTATTGTATATAAAAAATTGATTTTGATTAAATACGCTATGAACGTAGCAATCTTGCAGCCGGATCTCGATCCATAAACTTAAATTCGATTTTAAACTCAATTTAAAGTATAAAAAATTAGATGTGCAAAGATTTGATGATGATGTTCTCCTAGCCGATTCCGGCGACGGCGGCCAATCTCATTGAGACTAGCCAACTACGCAGGAGATAATATAGTGCACAAGTGTACGCGCAGACACAAGTGCACTCTCTGTTCCTGTCGATCTCATACTCCGGTGGGACGACTGCTCGACACGACCAGTGAAAGTTAAGGCGCAGGACCGACGGCTTTACGTGCTCTCCGAGGCACGGAGGTGAAACACCGCGAACTTCCCAACTCCGGGCTGTTACTGAGACTTACTATACAGAAATACTCAATAACTAAACTTGGCCCGACCCGGGACTCGAACCCAGGACCTCCGAGTGTGCAGCCGTATATGATAGCCACTACACCACCGAGGCAGTTAAAGTGCAAAAATTTACAACTAAGTTAAATATGTATCTCTATCACATAATGTATTAAAACTCTAAGCAAAAACTAAGTACCTATAGCTTTCAATTCACTTTCTTATTTCCCAGATATTCATTGTCTACATAATTAACTGATAGAAAAAGAAAAGAACTTTGCAGTAGATAACGCATCACGAACTTTATGTGCGATTACAAAAACATATTATTGATTTCACTAAACAGTATACACTGAATACGTAAGCATCTTAATTAATCAATGACCAAATTATCGTGAAAGTTCGAAGCCATGCACATGAGATGGCAGACGGCGACCTTTTACGGCATACTATAATGATTATACACGACTATGGCTTGATCCCTCTCGTATTGGGAGATCCATGTCCAGCAGTGGGACTTTAAAAAGATATACATTGCAGATACGTATAATAATTGTAGAGCCAACCCAGGTCTGTATTGTATTGTATTCAGCCCTTCTTAACGTCCCACTGCTGGGCACGGGCCTCCCTTCAATATGAGGGGGATTAGGCCATAGTCCACCACGCTGGCCAAGTGCGGGTTGGCAGACTTCACATGTCTTTCGAAAACTTGCTAAGTTCTCTCAGACATGCAGGTTTGCTCACGATGTTTTCCTTCACCGTAAGGCAAGTGGTAATCATGTTGAAAATGATTCGCACATGAAAATATCAGAGATGCGAGACCCGGGATTTGAACCCGCTTCACTCGGTTACCCAAGCGAGCGCGTCACCACTGGGCTACTACTGCCTACACCAGGCTAAACCAGGTCTACACTAAGATATTAAATTGTGTGATGTAAACTAATTTAATTAACATTTATTTAGAACGGATAATTGAAAATTAGTCTGAGATTCGAAGGATTTAGATTTTTATATAATTTATACACTTGGTAAGGATGATGAAAATGCTTTTACTATCATATGAAAGATAACTTAAGTCGTGAAACGCAAAAAAATAATAATTTTATATTTATTCCTACTGTTCACTTTTATCCATATCCTAAATAATTACATATATAATATCCTTGCCTTTTTTTTATTCCAGATGATTTTTATGCGTCAATGGCTGGTGGGACTACTTATAATTGCTTGTTTAATTTTGGTAGTAGAATTACAAAGCGCTCCGAGTGTTAAGTGCCCTATTGGCCAAATACCTATACCAATAGGCAGTTCAGGGTCTGGTAAAGCGACCGTAATATGCGTAAAAAAGCCTTAGCAAGATAATAAAGATAAATAAAAATAACATGTATAATCATTATAAGCAACATTTTTGTGTAACTAGATTGTATTGTCATTATATTGATAATATAGGTTGGAACAAATGAATGGGACATGGAAGAAAGGTACCTTAAATTTTGAAGATATCAATTATCAAGTTGTACTCAAAGGAAACTTTCTTTTATTTAAAAAAATAATAACTGCCTTTAATTCTTTTTAAAGGCTTACCTAAGCCGCAAATCGAACCAGCGAAAACTTAAAAAAAGTAGTAAGAATAAAATCTCTAGAATAGACATTATGTTTTAAAACTACAGAAACACATGAAATCTTACAATTCATACAAAACGGTTTTAAAATCGTGGAACAAACAAACGGGAAATGAAAAAAAAATACTATGAATTACGAAAATATTAAATTTCGCGCGCAAATAAAACGTTATTTTATTTTTCAAAATAAAATTAAATCCTTTTTTTCTTTTTTAAAAAGCTTTCCTGAACTGATAATTAAATTAACTATAAACGTAAAAAATACATCGTCATTATTTTATCGAAATAATCGTAGGCTCTACAGTCTACGGTAAGAATAAAATCTGTCAAATAAAGATTGTATTTTACAATTAATGAACATCATGAAATCTTACAACTCCACTTTGTTTTCCTTATACTTCATAAACAAAGCTGTTATTCTTATTTTAAATGATAAAAAACCCTTGAGTGAAACTAAATTTCTTCAATATTTGAGGTACTTTTCTTTCAAGTCTCGTTCGATTATTTTACCTGTACCTATATTAAATTTTGATACAATTTGAATAAGTTCTAAATAAAAAAGATGCAATCAACTTAACTTGTTTTATTATAGAAATTAAGGAACACGTCATGGATTAAATTATAAGAGATGTTAGATTTGTAGATGTCCGCGTCATAAAAAATAATTCATACGCTTATTATTATTATACATTATTACAGGAATAGTAGCAGTAAAAAACAAAAATATGATCGGGCCCTCCTGAGTAAAAGTGTTCTGTGATCGAACCAGTTTTAAGTAGATTTCACTAGGAGGCAACTAAAACGCCTCTTTTGCGGGGTTCGCTAACTAAAAAAGTATTTCATTTTTAGAGTTCCGTGCCAGAAAAATAAAAGAGAAAATCCATATTGGATTACTATGTCTATCTGTCTGTCTGTTAAGATTCTGTTTCTCAGGAATATGTGAAGGTTATTAAATAGTCAAGAAAGTTGTCTAACGTAGCAAGATTAAATTGTGGGCAATGACAGTCAAATAATCATTCCACTGGAGTATCATCTTATCCTATACTAATCTATGCTAATACTCGTATTATTAAGATATAAAGTTTGTGAGTTTGTGAATTGTGAGTTTGTCACGTTGTAGGGGGTATTCTCTGGATCTACAGAACCGATTTAAATGAAATTTGATAAGAAGATAGTTTGAGACCCTAGGAAGGACATAGGATACTTTTTATCCTAGAAATCATTCCTTAAGGGGGTGAAAATGGAGATGAAAGTTTGTATGGGGAATCAACCTAAGGACAAACCCGAGCGAAGCGAGAGTGAGTCGCTAGTATTTTATATTTTTATCAAGCTGAGAAAATTAAAATAGGCTTCATTAGATTTCAAACTGCAAGTTCCGCCCTACAACGCACTTATCACTATAATCATTCAACGACCGCGGACACGCCGGCGTTACAGTTAACAATAGATTTCTTAGAAATTTACTATTATATATATATATATATATATATATATATATATATATATATATATATATATATATATATATATATGGAAAGGATATATCATGTTCAATTGGTAGAAAAGTAGTAACAGTCAAGTTAGGAATTCCAAATATAAAAAAGGATGATACCTTGGCCTTTTTATATTAAAAAAGAAGTATTGTTTAGAGGTGAGTTATTTATATTCTATAAAAAATTAGCATCTCATCAGTACTTTTAAGTCTATAAAGCGACATTGAAGAAATAAATGTTTACCAACCTCAACCTAGAACACGATAGCTATAGAAATATTACAATAGCAGAAATATTACAATGCATCGATCATTTTAGAGTCCGCTTTGCTAGTTAAGTATAACTTACTCATTTAGACTCATCTCTGTCTGTCTGTTACCGCATCACAGGAAAACCTCTAGAGGGATTTTGATGAATTTGGTATGGCGATAGCTGGTTATCCGGGTCAACATATAGGATACTTTTTACCGCGGGAAAATCTCATTTCTGAGAAAAAATACAAAAACTGCAATGTAAGAGTATACTAATATGTAAAACCTAAGAATTTGATTTTTGGTCATGTGAACGCGGGCGGAGCCGCAGGCAATGCTAGTCTTAGACAAATAAATGAATACGGATATATCAAACATGGAACGTACAAAATATACCTACCATTCAGACTTCAAAAATATGTACCTAATGCACGCTCCGTCTTTTTCTTTCATTTTAGAGATTTAAGTATACATACCTACGCAGAAACGTAGAGTTATTAAAGTATTTAACGGAGGCAAATAGATTTGTAGGTTGGAATAAGAACTAGGTATATAAAATAAATAAAGTTTTTAAGAAAAGCGAAACACATACAAGATAAATAATGATAATGATGATGCTATTACTATTTATGTATGTATATTACATATTGTTATCAAAACTTGTGTTTTATTGAGTAAAATATATTTTTAAAATCTAATTTAACTTACCTCTCAACAGTACACAAACAGTTAAAATGACGACTATTACGTGTTGCATTATGAATATGAGGACTGCACAAATTAAACACTTTATTAACACCTTCGCATTTGTAAATGTGCTATTTAGTTTTAGTTTGTTTAAAGTACGAAATTTTCCATTTTATTCACATAAATCACCTTTAATCATTTAAAACGATTAAACTATAATGACAACGGTCTAAGTATTTCTGGCGCCAAAGAAATTCTTGATTTATTTCAAACTGTCGAAGAACTAAGTTTACGTGAGTATACAATAATGTATATCTCAGCTGAGTAAACATAACATACGTAATACAAATCACAAAACTATTTTGAAGACAAAGATCATTTTAACTACATTGTTATATTCTATTCAGTGACAAGGCTGCGATAGCGACACACGCAGGCTTCTTAAGAGCTCTTAATCGACAAGGAGAGTCAAACAAGCCCTACGTTTAGTCATAGTTAACTGAAACCAAAGTGCAGTCGTCATGTGCCAACCTCCCCGGCCCCCACTATGCGACACGACCTTGCAGTTTATTATGGTTTTACAGACAATTTACAATAGAGTGACGACTCCACGGCGAATGATAGTGAAACCAAACGATAATGACGATCTACGCCCAGCGTTTCGTAACATACGGGCAAAGTTATGCGATAAGTAGAGGTTTGGGATACTAGTGCAAGTACCTTAACTTTTGCGTTGCAGATATTGCAAAAGCATCCGTCAAATGATATGTGGTAAACGGGTACTTTGCATAAATTGAGGAATTCAAATATCCGTTTCCGGGATTTTAGATTGACCATACTATCCGCCCTCTTGTATATAATTACAAAAATACAAGTTACCTAGTTAGTAGTTAGACACTTATTTGTAAAGCTCCCCATGGTCTGTACGTGTATATTAAAGTTGACGAAATGTTTCAAAATATGTCAAATTATAAATTTGTCGGTAAACATTGAAAAAAAAATACTTTTATCATATAATATGTATAATTCTTCTGTACGTGTGTTTATTAACTTAGGTACTCCTCCTAAAGGGCTAAACCGATTTGGATGAAATTTTGTGTGTATATTTCAATGGGCTCCTGGATGGTTTGAAAACACAATTCAACCGGTAGGTGGCGCTGCAGTCGTTGTGCCACTGAGCATCTCCTAAACGGCAGGGACGACTTTAATGATATTTTTATGTATGTTCGAGTGGGTCCCTGCAAGGTTTGAATTCACAAATGGATCCGGTAGGTGGCGCGGCAGTCGGTGTGTTACAAAATTTTCATAAGACTCCATTTTCCGAGCAATAAATAAATTTAAATTGTTAATTAAATAAAATAAAAATTTTCAGGTAATCTTCAGATTAGCCCAGCGGGTGACCCTATAAATTTTGTTAGCCATCGGAAGTTGGACGCAGGCGAAGCCGCGGGTACTGCTAGTATTATATATATAATATTTATTGAACATTAATATTGTTATATAAACAATACAGAGACCAATGTGAGTAAAGGTCTACGAATAAAGACTTATTATTTATTAGTAGGTAAAAGTAGAGTTGTCTAGAGACAACTAGAGAAGAGATCTTTTCCAGCCAATCTATGAAAGTGAAAAATAGTGTTTTATAGCGGACTAAAAAAGTGCAGTTAAATTATATTCATAAACTTAAATAAAATAAAAAAAACATAATTTTATAAATACATAGGTTACATATTATACATACAATATAGCATTAGGTACATATACATACATAGTCATATCATATAAATATTTAATATCTTTTGCAATAATAACCTTAACACAACTTATTTCATGTTAAAAATATAAATGATGGCATTACATTCTAATTTTATTATTATTTAACTTTGCATTGTTCGTAAGTTATTAGTATTAATTAAATGGACGATATCTTTTAACTAAATTGCTTATAGGTTAATGGTTTTTTAATTAAATCGACTAGCATTTGTATCGGTCATAGCTAAGCGTCACTTCTATCAACAATTAGACCCAGACTGAAGACACTTATATTTATAATTTCTTATTATGTTTATTAATATGTATATTGCACATATACATATATTATGTATCATAATCAAAACGTGTAGAGTTCTATGCAGAAATTTTAACATATGAAACCTTTAAGCGAATAGAAGATGAATAAATATGAAGCCTGGACTGTAATGTAATAAATATTAGAAATTTCATAGATCTGTCAATGTAGCTCTATTTAGAATTCAACGCTCACTATGGATTGTTACACCTAACGCCCATGAAGATTCCTGGACAAAATGTTTTTTCTTGCGTTTCTATAACCTTAATCCTTAGGGCGAGCGAAGCGAGAGTAAGCTGCTTCTACCTACCTAGTACCTAGATTATAAAAATACATTTATGAACGTTATTTAAAGACACACAAATTGGCGCCTCAGATCCGCCATTTTGACTTTAAATGATATCTATATATCCTATGACACTCGCATTATCAAGACCAATTTAACCCCCTATGAATCATCAAAATCGATTAAGCCGTTCAGTAATTACGTGGAAATATAGGGTCCGACATACATACACAGATACAGGTTAAATACATAATCCTCTTATGAGCTTCGCCGCAGTCGGGTAAAAAATAATGATTAATTTAGTAATAGGTACATCTCGTCCTGTCTATTATGTTATGACCCACAAAAGCAATCTGCTATGTTAATTCGATTACATTGAACATTGTTATGTAAATGCTCGTACACAGAAGAATGGATACAGATTTGCCCGAGCTGGCAGGGCAAAAACTAGTGTAGCAACAAGTCTATGTCGCAGTCGCATGTCAACTTTTTAGATGTACTAAGTCTTATTTGATTTGATAAAATTTCTATAAAATATTGAATGGGTAATGAAACATGCCAGAATTTTGGAAATAATTGGAATAAATATACCTAAATAATGTAAAAAGGTAGGTATACTCTTTATTGTGTCATTAAAACAACATAGTGCGTTGTAACTTTAATCCTTTCAGAGGAAAATTTTTTGCAGTGGAAGAAGCTACAAATATTCATCGACACCTTCTCTGTTGGTACCTTATAGGAATTTTTAATCTCTGACAAAACCGAGGGGTATAATTTATTAAACCTGACCTGACGTCTTTGTCCATCTGTGAGTCCGCTTATAACTCCTAAATAAATGGACTGGTTATAATACAATTTTGCCACATTACATGCCTGATGCCCCTGGTGTTGCAGGCGTCCATAGGCTGCGGTAACCGCTTACCATCAGGCGGGCCGCATGCCTGATTGCCACTGACGTGGTATAAAAAAAATCAAACATATTTATAATATCGATACAGATTACGTTCATATCGTTAAAAATTTACTTTGATCCCAACGTTATACCGTTGGGCACATTCAATCGTCATATTCATCACAATGCAATTATTTTAAACTTCTGAAATTATTGTGGCAATAATAAATGATATTTATTATAACAATGATTAAGTTCATTTTTTTAAATATACCTAAAAAATAACACAAAACGTAAAAAAAAGTATGGAATATATAGTATTGTGTAATCTATAGGTACATATAGTAAAATTGTAACTAAGCCGAATCTGTACATTAAATATTTTTTGGAAAATTTTATGGAAATAGACATTATCGATACAGAGGCCGAATCTATAGTTTTTAGAATTTTTGTCTGTCTGTTACCGCATCACAGAAAAACCACTGGAGGGATTTTGATAAAATTTGGTGATAGCTGGTTATCCGGGTCAACATATAGGATACTTTTTACCGCGGTAAAATATCTCATTTTTGAGAAAAAATACTAAAACTGCAATATAACAGTATACTAAGAATTTGGTTTTTGGTCATCTGAACGCGGGCGGAGCCGCGGGCAATGCTAGTATGGAATATAGTTATATTCTAGTTATAGTATTGTGTTATCTGTCGTACAACTATTTATTTAAATATCGGCGGTTCCTTAATTTACTTATCAGATGCAACTGGTATTTATTAAAACTGCATACTTTTTTTAACGGACACCGGATACATAAGTTTATGTTACACAATTGTATTCTAATAGAGAAGACCAAAAGAAAAAAATTACAATACAATAGTGATATGAATGTAATACATACATAGGTATGATTCATTGGCAAAGTCACCTACATAGAGTTTATATGAATAAGTAATCGCTTAGTTTTGAAAAAATTACAAGTTTACCCAAATATTTTATTTTGTAATTTTGTCATTTAATAGAACGTCCGTTTTTACCCGACTGCTGCGGAGCTCGAAAGGTGAGTTATGTGTTTGACGAGTATATACTATGTACATATGTATATCCAACCTTGTTCACTCGCAATACTCAACGGTGTCAATGAATATAGGTATGTCGTAAGTTTTGTCTCCATAACGTGAGTGTCATTTCATGTCTATGAACGTTCATGGGATCTTTTATAAAGCACAGTTCCTCCTATGGTTTAAAAACCGTTTAATATCAACTTTCAATTTTGTGAAAATGTATTGATATTTTCGTTCCTTTCTGGGTATCGCTAAAATTTATTTCTTTTAAATATAAGTATAAACTGTATATTTACTATTAATCTGTACTTACACAATAGGGATAGTAAAACATATTACATAATTTTCAGTTTATTTATTGTGCGCTTACCAAATTGTTAAAACGATTGACAATATCACACAAAAACGTGACAGAAAAATTAACAATGGCAAAAGTGTTACGCGCCCGTGAGACGGGCGAAATGGCTAAGCAGTGCATGTCAGGTACGCTAATATTGTAAAAAAAATATAAATCACGCATAGTAACCTGAGCACATAAATTGTACCTATTATTGTAGTTCGATACAAACTTAATGACAGCTCGGATGTTAGCTGCGAGCGTAGCTTAAAAAAGCGCCGCGTCTCGCCCCTCTGCGCCTCGCTGATGCCTAATATTCCGTTCTGCGCACCAGAACATACGATGTTCAGCCCTGTTGAAAAACTCCAATAGAATCCCATCAAAAGCGACAAAAAGCCACATAGGGACCAATAAATATTTATTGGTTTCTATGTGGCTGTTGTCGCTTTTGATGGGATCCTATTGGAGTTTTTAAACAGGGAGAGCCGCCATTAAGTTTGAATCGTACTGTACCACAGCCTACTAATCCATACAGTCTAACGAAGGCCTCTATACAGGGCAATCGTGCAGAGGATGCGAAGGGTGCGGGGGTGTAATTACATACGTGATACCGACTGTCATACTTATTTTCATACGATATTTGAGAAACGTTTTAAGGGTTGAGGGAGATTGTACTAAATCGCTGTAACTTCGAAACCGTTCACTATAAAAAATATTTTTTTTTGACAACCCTTGCATTTGACAGCACTTCTGTTTAATTCAATGAGCAATCGCCTTCTGCATGGATTTTTATACTGCGCTATTACAATACATACTTTGTATTTTGTATTCGTAACAAAATAATAAAAGAGAAAAGTATACTATTTAATTTTACATATCGTGGCGGGTTGTAAAAACTTAACTTAAGTTACTATGATACTATTACATAAATTCTCATTTATATATATCGAAATTATATTAAACTTCATTAAACATAACTTTAGTGTTTAGTTTTTAACTAACCAAATAAATATTAAAATGGGTCGATATATAACTAAGTATTGCTAGTAATACAATAGAACTTATGACAACCGGTCAGAATATATTCTAGCTCTTCTAAAATTAAAAACTCAAAACAAAGAGAGAAGGAGGGGAGCCTGGGAGGGATTTTGGGATTTACTCAAGTGCGGCAGATTAACACAAGAGGGGTTACCTTGCACTCTGTTGAGTACCTACACACACAGTGATATCGCGCGTCTAAAGCCGGTATTCAGAATATTTAAAAAATACTTTGATAAGTTAGAAGTTCTTGAAACCGTCTGATTAAGGTATGGTGAGCTAATTACATGCTAAAAAGTGTGTAGATGATTCAATAATCCGCCGATTTCCACAAGACGAAAAAACAAAAATCGTCCATAAAGTTTATGGAAAATTATTCTTCAGCTTGTGGAAATCGGTAATTATCGGACTTATGTTAATCTGCCGCACTTCAGTAAATCGCAGTCCTCTCTGGAGCCTACTATAGCTGTCTATGTGAACAGTTTAAAAAAAAAATGTTTAAATGAAAATATTTGGTTAGTTAAAACAAAACAAATCTAGACAAAGGAACTGCGGACTGGGCTAGCTGAACTACGTCAAATTGTATAATAAAAATAAATATCATATGAATACTTCATTTAGCTGATAATATATATTTATAGCGTAAACATTTCAATTTTGTATATTAATCTTTTGTACATACAGATCACTAAATTTCAATAATCTTAAATAAAACTATCTGTTCGGATTTTTTCGCGGATTCGAATCCGAAAAATAGTTTTATTTAAAATGTTAAATATTCGCATAAATCTAAAAAAATATTCACTAATCTTGTCAAAGAGAAAAGCAGTTTATTCATATATTTTTTTTATAAAATATAGTCTGATAAAAAACGTTATGGGGAACGAAGCATAACATAAAAAATATTCTCAAGAGCCCTTAATACACAATATCCTTGCAGTAAATGAAATATATTTCACATTATGCTTTTAATCAGAAAACTAGCCGCTCAATTGATTATTGCATAACTTATTTAATCTACATATGTACAAATCATAATAGTACTGGTATGTAAACTCTTTTAAATAACTATTACATTGGTTTGGCTTAGACATTAAAAAAAAACAAATTTTGGTGCCGATTTAAATAAACGGTAAAAGGAAAATATGAACGCCCAAAGTGCAAAATGAGAAAGGTTACTTGGCCACGTTATATCTCCCTGCCACTACGAACATATATTATAATATTATCGTGTTCTTTCAACGAAATTTAATACTTGTAGTTAACTAATCAATTGATCGACGAGTTTAACGGTTCTCATAATATATCTCACTTATTCTATATATATTTAGAATACGACAGTATTTATAACTAGCTTTTTAATTTTAATGCCACATTGCATTCTGGATATTACATAAATTATATGTAGTTTTAAACAAATGCCTAAATTAATGAAATTCTTTATAACAATTTGTTTATTTCCATCACATTTATATGTATGAAGGACGATTATTTGTCCTAACAGACACTAGATGTATGTGATGTTATGAACGCTGTCGTAGTCTAAGCACATCCGCAGGTATTTGTACAGCTTCCCAGCCTCGTAGTGACATAGAATAGATCACTTTTAATAAGTCGCTAATTAACATATTATAACAATTGTTACGAAGAGACATAAAAATGTGGTACAACTTTTATAATTGTACGTTGTTAGTGACAAAAATGCTTAAATATCTATTTTCATAGCGAATTTGTACCTTAAAAGCTTAAACTGGGCCGGGAGTGTCGACATAGTTAGCGATCGCTATTTTATCTATTTCTGCCGCTAAGTCATAATCATCAATGATTTAGACGATTATAGCGATTATAGCGATCGCTAACTATGTCGACACTACCAACCGTGGTAACTTTAATAGAAATTTACGACATGTCTATTAGTAACAGTTCAATAGAGAGTAATATTCTAACAAGATACTGATACGGCAAAATTTTGTAAAACTATCTTTTCGCATGACATACGTATATATTGATAAATTTTATCAAAAATAGCAATTGAAAGAATTCGCATCTTGGAATGGACATATCGTTAAGGCCATTTATAATCTTTGTGCGCCCTACAAATACTGCAATAATAATATTATTTTATTATTATGAATACTTCATTCAATTAATTTTGTATTCTATCTGCAGACGTTTAAGAACCAGGACCCGAGGTTTAAACGTTTTTAGCGTTTTGCTTCAAATAGTGAACATTATTTTTGTATAGTGAACGATTTCATGAACACCGGCTGCATTTGTAGAACATTAAACTTTGAAGCAGTGGTAGTTCAGTGGTGACGCGCTCGCTTGTGAAACCGAGTTAAACGAATTCAAATCCCGGGTCTCATACGTCTGATATTGACACTTGAACAATGATTCGTGATCTTCTAACTTAGTATTGTTTTGTACAAAACAATCTGTTCAATTACAAAATCGTGACAATAAATAATTATAAAATCAAAATACGAGTTGAACGCCGTAAGTGTAATATGCCATTATTGTCATCTTTTCACGCTAATAAGATTTTATTTAGTTTATTACATCTAGAGAAATACTTCAATTCAATGTTTGACAGTATAACATATTAGAACCGAAAAATATTAATTTATTGTCTTCAACATACTTGCATAAGTATAGCTACATTTACTGTGGCATTTATAGGGTGCATCGATGTAATTTCAACATGAAATAGAATGAGTATCTCAAGCAAAACCTATACAATCAAAATTTAGCAATTTTCTCATTAGAAGTTACGTTTATTTATCGGAGAGCATACAATACGATCCATTCCAAATGTCGAAAGCCTTATATAATATATCTTGCTAGCACGCGAATTTTGGCAATAATCTACCATTTCAATCAATAAATTAACCTTAACAATTAGTTACATCGCAATTAAAGGTATAAATAAATTTAATTTTATACTCATTATTCATAATGTGTCATATATCATTCACAATGTGTCATAACGATTCTTATAAATAATAAAATAACAAAATGTCAACAAATTTTAAACAAATATAACAGCAACAAAAAATTAGCGGTGGCGATCAGGTACACAAAAACAAATTTTGACTAAAATGGCTTTGGCTTTTAAGCTATCGTTTTTCACACTGACACGATAATACTAGAAAATATATAAATATATAATCAAAATGATAAAAAAATGGAATTCTTACATTATACATAGATATGTATATGTAAAAATTGAGCCATCTTATTCATGGTGATATCATTTATCGGACGCGCCACGACAAACACTCGCTTCATTGGACTTAATTATTACAAAACTTGCAAACTGAAGATTTTTGTATACAAGTATTATAAATACTAATAAAGGATACTTTTTAATTTTACGTTAATATATTGGCTTAGGCATTTTTTTTATCATGTATTATATATATATATATATATATCCGAACTCGTCCTTTACCCATCAGCTTACGATATCAAGTATTTTGTATTAAGCATAAATATATTAAAAAAATACTCGTATGTCGCAGAAAGGTTTTCTGATAAATGTAAATAATAATGAATACTAAAATTAATTTTTAGTTTGGCTTCATTTGATTACTGCTATGATTTTCGCTACATCACACCGAATAGTTAAGACGTTTTTTATATGTTATGTCTAATTCAAAATAATTTTCATTCAGTAATCAGATAAATGAAGGAAGAACGTACGTCGGATCTTATACTATTTAAAATATTTATTTTTCAATACAATTTTTATGGATACATTTAGCATTATCAAGTCCAATAAAAATAAGATATATAAAAAAGTAATTTTACAGAGTTCGAATTCTTTTACTTTAAAATTCTTAAGCTCAGTCCAAAGCTTGATAATATTTCATATAGTATAAGAGCTAATATGGATATGTAAATGATTTTAAGGCTGACTGCTCACTAGCAAGCTATTAATATAACATATCGCGGATATAAACAAGTTTTTATTAGAATATTTTAAATAATCTTTAGAATCCCGTTAGATATGTACAATTTACTAACGAAAACAATGTCTTTTTGAACTTTTGAATTAGATACTTTAGTTGAAGTTACATGTCTGTATCACTATATTCTAAATAAAACATTGGGTGTACTCAGCAAAAAATATATAAAAAAGGTGATGGTAGTTTTAACTATTACATTAAAAAAAATTAAGACTATAGTCGTTTCTCGTTTGTTTCTTGCCTGACTGCTGGGCAAAGCCACAAAATGACACATATTTAATTGAATCAAAATAATTAAAAAATACATCCATTAATCACGTTCACAATCACCATATGTTATATTTATAAGAACGCCGTTCGTACATTTATTGGTATCGTTAAATAATAAATTGTATCGTGGGTACAATGTAAAATACATTAACATTTTGATGAAAAAAAAAATCTCACTGAAATGTACTAGCGCGATATAACATCGCGGGCTAGAACAACCTCAACCTAATTAACATATCGATAATATTTCTTATCATAAATATATATTAATACGATATAGTCGCAAAAACAATTTCAAGTATGTTTTAATTAAAATTATAAGTATACTTTAATATTTCTTAAGCATTCATCCACCACTAGTAAAATAAGCGCCACTAGTTTGTCATTGGTGGCATTCAAAATGCTGACATTTGACCCCACTACTTACATCTATTAATAATTTTATTTATCCCCGTCCCTATATCGGCCAAGTCTCACGTATACTAATTTTGGTCTATATTTAAATTTAATTGAAAAATGTAAATCTAGTTTTTTTTTCGATAAATTAATTTTTATTTATTAGAAGCCTTGAATTTGAACCGAACAATATGACCATTGACAAATTTTAAATTCACAACTGTTTTATTTATCAATATTAAATGTTAAACCGATTTATTCGATAATTTTGATAAGTGAAATGATATCACTGGCATGTACCAAATGAACAAGATGATTCGACGGATGTAGATGAAGATTAAAAAATATATATTTTAATAATTTTCATTTTATGTTACCGTTTTTATCTGAAAATATATTATAATCAAAAAACAATTTTTTTGCATGCTTTTTTCCGTGTAATTTAGTTGGCAAAATTCTGTAACTAAAAAAAACATGAATATTTTTTTTGAAATCTTCAGATTAAGAAAATCCCTTAAGACAATCGTCTAAATATGAGACAACACATCTAGAATATCAAGCGGAACTGTCTATATGATAATAGGAAGCGCTCGAGTGTTTTAAAATGGCGATTTGTTTTGCATTTTCAAAAAGCCGCAACGAGCTTGCGTGACGACCGAATCGTCAGCCTTTTGAATGAGAAAACTTGAACCTTACAACTTGCTACAGATGAAGCATTCATCACTATGTTCTGATTTGTATCACATAAATAACAACCATCATTATTTCACCATAATATAAGCCACTTTTACTTTGTACCCACGATAAGTACAGTACATATTTAAACAATTATTTTAAAAAATTTAGAGGAAGAGAGAAAGATTTCAAGCAAAATACAAGAACTGGCCAGCCTTGATCACGATAAATACGTTAAACAGAGTTATTCGTTAAGTAGGAATTCTATCCCTAAGGTAAGACAAGATGGAGGCCGTACCTTTCGCGAGTATCGCGTGTCGCGGCTGACGGAAACAGTTGCCCATTAACTCCAACGATCTTAAATAAAAAAAAACATAATTAATTAATAATGTTAATAGATAATTATAATATTAATTTAACTTTCTGTGGTCCCACCCGCATTTTTTCTTATAAATACCATATACAATTCCATAATATCCATTTAGTAAAAAGCTGTTATTTTAACATTACAAAAAGACACTTCAATTTTATTTATCTGTATAGATGGATAAGGATTTAACGAGAATTTAAAAAATCTAATAACAAATTGCTTTAATCTATACATGAATACCTCAAATGTGTGAAGTTGCCCAGCTCGGGCGGCACGGTGACGATGCTGTTGTTGGCGAGGTCGAGCACGGCGAGGCGCCGCAGCCGCGCCAGCGCGTCCGACGACACGTTGATCTCCGAGATCTGGTTCTCTGCAGCCAGGAGTATCTCCAGGTTAGCCAGCTCGTACACGCAGCGAGGGATTTTGGTGAATCTGAAAAGGTTTTAAGATTTTTTTAAATCGCTTGGATTTAAAGTTCAGACCATCAGTTTATTACATCTCTAATAATCTCCGTGGTGTAGTGGCTAGCATGTACGGCTGCACACCCGGAGGTCCTGGGTTCGAGTCCCGGGTCGGGCTAAGTTTAGTTATTGAGTCTTTCTGTATAAGTAAGCCTCAGTAACAGCCCGGAGTTGGGAAGTTGGCGGTGTTTCCCCCCCGTGCCTCGGAGAGCACGTAAAGCCGTCGGTCCTGCGCCTTAACTCTCACTGGTCGTGTCGAGTGGTCGTCCCACCGGAGTATGAGAGTGACAGGAATAGAGAGTGCACTAGTGTCTGCGCGTACACTTGTGCACTATAATATCTCCTGCGCAGTTGGCTAGTCTCAATGAGATTGGCCGCCGTGGCCGGAATCGGTCGGGAGAACATCATCATCATCAATAATTTATATTTCCCGGGATAATCTATACATATAATAAAATACTAAGTCGAACCTGTACATTAAATATATTTTGGAAAATCTTACTGAAATAAACATTATTATCGTTACAGAGGCCGAATCCACAGTATTTAGAATTTTTGTCTGTCTGTCTGTCTGTTACCGCATCACAAAAAACCACTGGAGGGATTTTGATGTAATTTGGTATGGTGATAACTAGTTATCCGGGTCAACATATAGGATACTTTTTATCACGGGAAAATATCTCATTTCTGAGAAAAAATACAAAAACTGCATTTTAAAAGTTTACTAATATGTAAAACCTAAGAATTTGGATTTTGGTCATCTGAAAGCGGGCGGAACCGCGGGCAATGCTAGTCTTTTTATATGTATATACCTACTCATATATTTGTAAATATTTATTCATGCATTTATATATGTAATTATATATACTTATATGTATTAAGGATATGCATTTATGTATACCAAGTACACCGTGTACCATTTCGTATAATTACTCCTACGCCCTAAGGTTGCCTGGAGAGATCGCTTAAAGCGATATTAAGGCGCCTCCTGTACATATCTATTTGTTTATTTCTTCTTTAGTATATTTCTTTTATAGTGTACAACAAAGTATATCTATTATCTTTCTCTCTATCTATTATTTTCAGCAATGAAAGTCCAATTACGTTAAACCATCCTCTTATAACCTTTTATCTAAAGGTAACCGTTTATTACTAATAATTATTAGCCTGTGTTTTATATCCACGACTGATGTTTCTTTTGAGTTAAACCAAATAAAATTTTCAGTTTATAATCTTCAATTTTGTTCATAAGTAATTTATAAGATGTTCTGGAGGACGTTTCGTATATAACAGTAGAAAGTTAAATAACCGTCTAAAGTATCGTGATCAAGCCAAAAAAATCTCCTCATCGTCGCTCGACGACTAAAACATTTTTTCCCACTTTAAAAATAGAAGTATTCATTTCTTTTGTATTTTTTGTGTACGTTATGGTATGTATTTGCTAAATGTGATACCATTATCATTTTTTTTTTAATGAATGGAGGCATTTCTCTGAGGCGACCCTATTTAAATACTAAGAAAAAATTACACTTTTAAATTGCCTACTTTTGAATTGACATCGAAGTGTACCAAAAAATTAAAAAGTATTTATGTGGATTCTGTAAAATTGGTCACATTTAACTATAAAACTCACAAAGTCACAGACAAAAAAGTGGTATTACACATAGAGTGAATTAAACGATATATACACATACTTATTATTGGAAATAACAAGTTCTCGCAAGTTCTTCAAATCCCCTAACTCAATGGGGAGGTCGGTGAGGCAATTCTTTCCCAAATCCAAGAATTGTAAATGCTTGCAAGTACTGATTTCAGATGGAATGTTCTCAATGGAATTGGACGCCAATATTAACTGAGTTAACGTTTCTCGTACATGACGTATTCTGAAAAGGATAGAATAATATTATAAACTGGTCTACTCTTTAACATGGCGTCTCATGAAGAAGAAAAAGTAGTTCAAATAAATTTTAGCAGGTGACGTTACATGTAAAGGTGTCTGTCCACTACACCGTCTCATACCATGATCGTGCTATGAACGTATCAGACACGGAAACAAGCGACACAGACTACTATGCTCACTAAAACGTATCAACAGCGTATCATACCCGTACATAACGGTTATAGTGCTGCGTATGCTGACCACTGCGCGGCCCGCGCGCGGCACGCGCCGGCGTCTGTCGGTGACGAGGTGGTCTAGTGGGCAGAGTCTACTTCAGAGAGTACTTTTCAATACAAAGAATAAGTATTTTATGCCTGACACGGTCCTAGCACGGTGCTATGAGACGGTGCAGTGGGCAGACTCCTTAAAATTCACTTCGCTCGGATGCGTCCCTAGGTACGCGGATTTTGTTCGAAATTTCATGGGTTTTTAATTTTTTGCGCGGAACCCTAATTCTATTTCATAAATAAAAATTACCTAAGTTACTTATAATATCAGCTATCTACCAGTGAAAGTCTCGTCAAAACCGGTCCAGCCCTTTTGGGGATTAACCGGAATTTAATAGTATTGTCATCCGCGCCTTTACATATTTTTGTGCGATAAAAAATATATTAATAAATAGCTCTTCTCTGCGATTTCATACGCGTAAAAAGTGCTTTCTCCTTTTCTTTCACCGTCTTTTAGCAGCGCTATCTATTAAGAAATTCAGAACTACTGCTGTTAAAATAACACTATATTTAACTTACTTCCCCATACAAACTTTCATCCACATTTTCGCCCCCGTAAGGGATGATTTCCGGGAAAGTTTTCTATGTCCTTCCCAGGGTCTCAAAACCATCGTCTTACCAAATTTCATCGAAATCGGTTCAGTATATCCAGAGATTACCCCCTACAACGTCACAAACTCACAAACTTTGCCTCTTTATAATATTAGTATAATAATCTGCGGCAACATATCTATAGGATAAAAATCCTGTGAGTAACTCCAGGATATAGTATATCTATATTATATGTAATGAAAACATTTTTCAAAACTACTGAACATATCGTTAAGGGACTTTAACAATTGAAGCGAAATCGTCTGTCTGTCGTTTGTCGATGGTTTTAGGCTTTATTATTTATTTTATTATTATTTTATATATTTTATTTATTTTTTGAATTCCCTACACTCTTCACCAGTTTTTTTACTTCCATAAATATTTTTTCCCGCCAATAAAAAAAAGAAGCCACCCTTTTTTATTGAACCTAAATATTTCATTTATAAGCGAAAAACTTTAACACCCATTAAGGTCTCTGAATGCGAAAAAAGGACTACATACGTTCAGAAAATCGGTAAAGCGAATATGAATAATATATATATATATATATATATATATATATATATATATATATATATATATATATATATATATATATATATATATATAAAATATAACTTACCCAGTGGGAACAGTAATTAACTTGTTTTTAGATATATCCACTATATGCACTTCAACTTCGGCCGCCGTGACAAAAACATCTTCAGGCACTGTCGTTAGATCTTTTGCAGGCACCATTAATGACTGACTTTTTTTCATTGTAAATCTACAAATAAGAAATTGTATATAACGAAACCATTGTACGTTTTTTAAGTTGGATTTGGGCGGTAAATAATAATTAATAATCCGAAATCACGTACAAGCTTTCTATTAAATTATTAAACATTATATTTTACCACTATAGAAAATGTTTATATATCTCATAACGAGCCCTTTATTTCTATTATGACCAAAAAATATTTAAAGTAAAATAATTAGCTCCCAAAATTAAACCCCAACCTTAAAATAGTTATTTATTAACGTCTCGTCATAACTAGAAGTATTTATATAGCATAAATACTCGTAGTTATATGAGCACGATATATGAATATAATTATAAATTTATTTTGCCTATTATGTTCAAAAAATAGGCGCAAACCAAACAATAAATAATATGAAAAAAATATTCTTAATAGTTTTTAAGGAGAAAATAATTAAAAATGTAAGCCGGGAAATTGAGAAATTCGGAAAAAATATAGGAAATGGATTTATGTACATATACGTATGTAGTAATGTATGTATAACTGAAAAATCACAAAATTAAAATTTTCATTAGCTAATCATTAATCTATACATATAATAAAACTGTAGAGGTCGAATGTCTGTACATAGAAAAAAATCCTAAAAACCGAGTCAGGGGGATGTAAGAAGAGAAATAGAATAAATTTAGATTTTTTCCGACCGACCAATTTGACCGATTTAATTAAAATTTTGCATAGTGATACCTTATATCCCTGGTCAAAATTTTAGATACTTTTCATCCTGGAAAATTAAAAAGTTCTCGTGGGATAGTTCAAAAACTATAGTAACTTATACAGCTTAGTACACAAAAATTACTGATTGGATTTTAATGAAACTCTAAAATAATGTAGTTCATACATCAGAATAACAAATAGGATACTTTTTATCCCGGAAAAATGTACGGTTCCCGTGGGATATATTGTTTTTGTTTGTCTTTTGCTAGTATAATAAAATATAAATAAAAATAGTGTCATACTTATCAGGCAAGTTATCTTCATTGACGCGTGTGTCATTGACAACTTCCTCAGTGATGCGGTCGCGTAAGTACTTCATCATCCTATCCGTTCCCCCTCGGATTATGTCCTGGCGCACTGACGACAACTTGTTGCCTTCCATACTGATACTTTGTAGCTGAGAAAGAAGGCCAAGGTTTCTCGGCAATCTAAAAAAAATATAGTCTACAGTTATCGGAAGAAACCTAATCTCAAGTTTCACTGTAAATGGATATATGATATCCAATGCAACAACAATGTGTATTATAATTACATTATTGCCATTTTTAATGTAATAATTGATAATACATACTTAGATTTTCGCGAATATTTGACATTTTAAATAAAACTATTTCTCGGAATAATCAGAAAAGATAGTTTTATTTAAAATGATGTCTAATATTTTTTAATTTTTAATAACCAAAATTCAAATTTAAAAAAAAGATTGGCACTATTCAATCTATATTATTCTACTGAGGCTCAAGCATTCAAATAGCCGGGGGCGGGGGGGCTAATAAAATCATTTACTATGCGTAAACATATTCTTTTTTAACCCCCGACGCAATAAGAGGGGTATTATAAATTTGACGTCTATGTCTGTCTGTGGCATCGTAGCTCTCAAACGGATGGACTGATTTCAATGCGGTTTTTTTTCATTTGAAAGCCAGTTTCCTTGCGGTGGTTCTTAGCTATGTTTGGTTAATATCAGTCCAGCAGTGTAAGAGTATCAGCTGTTTTCCAAAATGATGTAAGGCATTTTGGCGTATGATTACTCGATTAAGTGATTCACGCGTGCCAGTGTAATCGTTAAATGTTAATTTACTTAGGTTTTTTTTTAATTTTTAAGTCTTTTTTTTATTTAGCAATAGAAGTTATTCAAAACTTTCTGGGATACTGTTGTAAAACATTTACATCAGACTAGCAAATCTTTGTGTGTGTTTGTGTGTATGTTTGTTATTCTATGCTTAAACAGATTTAGATGTTTAGTAGACAGACAGACTATGACCTGAAGTATCGCGTTAGCTACTGTTAGGTACCTAGGGACACTGACGAAGCCAAGATAAGTCACTACTTGTACATAAGCTAAATTACTTGTTCTGTGTTTATATTGACTACATTATTTTTGAAGTTATACTTCTTTTGGCATGTTTAGAAAAAAAATTTAAGAGTAAAATTTTTACAATGCGCGCGCACACCGACAGGCGTAAAACTACATGATGAAGTTAGCTGCATTCCTTTTACAAACAGAGAGTTTTGACATACGGGATGAAATCTTTTGCTATTTTTGTTCTGTTACGCCAAAGAAGTATAACTTCTTATGTGCGTACATAAGGACATACACACGTTTTTTTCTTAAATATAAAGACTTACTTATTTAAATTATTATTAGACAGGTCAAATCTTTTAAGCCTTTGCAGAAGTGATATGTTTTCGGGTAATATTTCTAATTTATTGTCTCTGATGTTCAGCACATTCAAGTGCTGCATTTGATCACAGAATTCTTCAGTAATTTCCTAATAATAAAACATAGTATATTTCAAAATGGATATTGCCTCATTCTGCTCAGATCCCTCGTGACATTTCACACTTTTAAATTAAACATTTATGATACTAAAGGTATAAATAATGTAAGCAAAGGAAGGACTTTTTTTTAATTCAAACCCTAAGCAAACATATAAACTATGTGGACAAAGCCATAGACAAATGCTAGTTTATTAAATTCATAGGTATTAATATAAACAAAATTCATAAATAACCTCAAGTGTTCAGCAATAAATAAAATTTAAGGGTTTACCTTAATATAATTATTAGCCAAATATATTTCTTTTAAAGCTGTGCATCCATAAAAATCTGGAAGTTCATCAATATCATTATGGTTTGCATCTAATATCTCCATCTTTCGTAATTCACCCAAAGGAGGTAATTTTTTTAAATTATTGTTGTTAACATTCATTTTTTTTAAATCTAGAATAAATAATAAATCAGTAAATTATCAATATAATGATAGTGTATTATCTATATAAGTGTAGTTTTCATTTATATTTTTTTTAAATATGAGTATTTGGCAAAATAATCAAGCATAGTAAAAGATTCTGTTTTGATATTATATCATTAGTTCTTTCACAATTATAATTATCTTTATATAACAGATTTGAAAATAGCAGTAAAACTAAGTAATATATTCAAACAATTACACACACTACACTTTTGCTTCCATTTCTTGGTATTACATATTGACATTCTATAGTTGATAAGATATATTAGGTGCAATATTAATATAAAGTTATAAATAATTTTATGTTATCTACCTCTTAGATTAACAATATCTGGAGGTAATTCCTTTAGCTCATTATGAGATAAATTGATTTCCACTAAGCGTACCAAGTATCCCATTCCCGGTGGTAGTACTGTCAATTTGTTATGAGATAAATCCTGCATTTTATAAATAAAATGATTCTTATAACATTATGGATATTATGTTACTTCATTCATCTTATGGTACATTAAAAATATTAATACAAGTATAAATTATTTTGAAATATAATTTATAGAATAATTATTTACTTATTAATAAAAGCTATTTAGAGCTTACCAAAAATGTCAACATAACCAAGTCACCAAACTCAGGTTCAATATTTTTAAGCATATTATAAGATATGCTAAGCCATCTCAATTCAGTTAATTTATAAAATTCTTCCGGCAATGTTTGCAGTTTATTGTGGTCTAAGCTTAGATTAGACAAATTATTTAGAACACCAATCTCTCCAGGAAGTTCAGTCAAAGCATTGTCATGTAACTAAAAATTAAAAAACTTTTTATTCTATAAAACTAAATAAACGAAACAATTAAGTAATTAAAATAAGTAGTTGTACCTTTAATGTTACCAGCTCTTGAAGTAATTTAACATTTGGAGATAAAGTTTTAATAACATTTGAACTAAGATCCAACATCTTCAATGGCTCGGCATTCCACCAATTGTTGTGGCTACTTTTACTAAAGTCCACTTCTTTTGTTTCATCCAATACCAATTCATTGATCTTCCATACATTTTCAGGTACTAAATATTTCAATAAATTAATTTAATACTTTGTTTTAAGGCTTTCATGTCGATCATTTTTTTAAATATTTAGTCATAATATGTTTTACTTTTGATACTGACTGGCAAATGTAGTACCTATTTAAAATTGGCAAATATATATTATAATTACCTGTTCCCAGGCCTCTATTACATAAGCTTAACTGCCCTGTTCGTTTAGCTGATTTTATTAAACCTAGGGATAATTCACTGTCGTCTGCTTTTTTATCTTGAAGATGAAAAACAGATTTACTAGACAACTTTAATCTTGATTTAGTAGGGGTAATATTTTTGCGTGACATTGTAGTAATGATAGGAAATAATTGATTAGTTTATTTAATTCATTTGATCGTAATAAACATTGAAATTTGAACAATAAATACTAATGAGACAGAAGTTTAGTAAAAAAATTACAAATATAAATTATAAACATTTTACTTTGTCCACAGATAATGAATATTACAAGTGTCAGGTACCTGCAATGACATCTGTCCATTTATTTTTTACTCTAAACGTCATAAGACAACAAAATGAAACATTCTATGCGTAAAATGGATATAACAGTATGAACATTAGTTTGAATTTGTGAGTAAATTCTATCTTTGTCCAGACGTGACTAATTTTAAATTAAAAGGAACATAGTATAAATAAATAAACATAATATAAAAATAAAAAACCCGACTGTATCAAAGCTAACTAAAAAGATTAACACAAGTTCACGATGCCCGTCCGCGTTGAGATGACCAAAAACCAAATAGTTAAGTTTTACATATTAGTATACTCTTAGTTCTTACATTGCAGTTTTTTAATTTTTTCACAGAAATGAGATATTTTCCCGGAGTAAAAAGTATCTTATATGTTGACCAGGATAACCAGCTACCATCATACCAAATTTCATAAAAATCTCTCCAGTGGTTTTTCCGTGATGCGGTAACAGACAGACAGACAAAAAATCTAAAAACTATAGATTCGGCCTCTGTATCGATAATAATGTCTATAACAATAAGATTTTCCAAAATATATTTAATGTACAGATTCGGCTTAGTTAGAATTTTACTACAAGTATAGATATAGATGAGCGATGGAATCATATCAATTGAAAATTGTTAACTGAAGACTAAAAATTAATTTTGTTTAATGTTAGACGTAAAATGTTTGTTTGTGTAATATTATTTTTATTTATCAAATCTGGTTTTTATTTAGTCAGATAAAACCCTTTATATACTTCTTGGACTGTTTTGAAAGTGATGCTATTCGGGTATTCATAAATCATATTTTTAAGTTCTGCTTTGAATCTTGTAATATTGACAATCCGGAAACTCTATGCAGCTTATTTTAGAGCAGCCAGAGGCCCAGAGCCTTAAAGTATACATAAGCTATAGAGCGTGCGCTAGTAAGTATGAACTGTAAGCACGGGTATGAACAGTCTCGAAATGTCAAGGGCGAGGTTATTATAAACAATGAAATCTAGCAGCCCGCATATTTTTAATTCTTGCATTAATGAGACGAATCTAACGATACCTTAATTAAAGAAATCCATCGAGTGGTTTGGAAGATATGAGGGAATAAAGAATATTAAAAACAAACATACAAAGATAGGCGCGAAAAACATACGCCTCTCCTTGCAGTCGGGTCGGTCGCACGGTTAGGTCATCCTTCTCCTTTTAGGAAGTTGGTTAAATAAAATAGCTCTCTTTAATATTTTCTTTATTATTCAAATTGTTACAATAAGCAAACACTCGTTTTCTCGCCATATGTGCTATATGTACAAGTAAGATTCTCATAGTTTAATAGGTACACAACAGTCTATTAAAATATATTTATGTCACTTGAGGTTTGACAAGAAAACTTATGGTTATAGAAGTTACACAAAAATTACATAAAATCTTACAACTGCGCGAAAATGAGAGTCGTGGAGGATCGTTATGATACAGATGTTTACGCGTTCGGCGCTCGCGGCTCTCTGCCTGGTCGAGCCACGCCGTCGCTCACGCGTTCGCGGGAGACGGGGGGGCGCGGGCGCCTAAACTATACGATCGCACGAAACACGGCCCTACAGGATCGTACATGTTCCGACACGATACCCCGCGATCACCGTTGTTTGTAAAAACCCCGCGTTACACTCTCCCCCTCTAGCCTAACTAAGTGTCCTCACAGTTGGGCTAGTCTAGGTATCTACGCGGCCTACCACGTTTACGTTTTTCCCTAACGGGAGGCTCTATCTGGCCGGTAAATGGCGTGAGGTGCGAAACGTGATATTTCCCTATATCTCTTCCGGTCTGTACGTTCTCTAACCCGTACGTAGTAGGACTAACTACCTTACCTATCTTGTATAGGCCGTCCTGGCGTGGGATTAACTTCGCCGTCTGTCCACGTCCTGCATCGTTCGGCCCCTGCGTTTTAAGTAGCACCATATCGCCTACCTTATACTCTGGCGGCGATCGCCGTCTCTGGTCAGCAGCCCCCTTTATATAGTTAGTAATGAACGTGCGCATACCTGTCCAATAATATCTAGTGCGAACACGGCCTAAAGTGCGCTCCACGCCGAAATGTCCTGCCATAGGCGCGTCGTGAAGTTCAGCCATCACTTGCCTGCGTTCGTGTTCGGGCACAACATTACAGCATTCTTCCCCATCGTCTGACTCTAAGCTATATCTATGAAGTATACCATCGGAAATAGTGTACCCACGATCGGACCATGGCCTCCCCCTAGAAGGTTCGTCAGTCTCCATGTCCTCAATGATTTTGCGAATCTCTGGATCTAACAGTTGATTGCTACGGATATCACCACTACTCCTCTTTGGTAAGTCAACGACTGTCATACATAATTCGCACTCACCTTGGTTCTCAGCACAAACTGGTCGCGAAAGCGTATCCGCAACCACGTTCGAGCGTCCCGGTGTGTATTGGATGTTGAGGTCGAACTCTTGCAATGTTAGGGCCCACCTAGCCAGCCGACCACTAGGTGACCTCTGACTCATTAGCCATCGCAAAGGCTGGTGGTCCGTCCTAACCGTTACCTTCGCAGTATCTACGTAACCGCGGAACTTACCTAACGCCCACACGACGGCGAGTGCCTCTCGCTCCGTCGTGGAATAATTCTTCTCTGCACTAGTGAGAAGACGACTTGCGTACTCGATCGGTCTCTCATCGTGTCCCTCCCCCTGCATTAAAACAGCCCTGAGGCAGTAAGCGCTACTGTCGGTGCAGAGAACGAATGGCTTCGACTCATCCGCCTGACGCAGAATGGGAGCGGATACGAGGAGACGCTTTATCCGCTCAAACGCCTCCTGATGCTCGGCGTCCCATCGCCAGGCACTTGATTTCTTCAGGAGTGTTGTAAGAGGTCTCGCGATCTCTGCATAATTATTAATAAAGCGGCGATACCAACTCACCGTTTGTAAGAAACATTTTAAGTGTTTAACAGTCTGAGGGGCGGGCATATTATCAATAGCCGCCGTCTTGTCAGGATCCACCTGGATTCCGCCTGGTACAATAACATGTCCTAAAAACTTAACTGATTCTCTACTCTGTTGCTCCTTTTTTTTTTTTTTTTTTTAACGTTGGGAAATGCATTTACGCACGACGTGTGGGACTCACCGGCGTAATACAGCCAGTACTACCCACTAAAACCCAACAAAACCTTCCCCCGTCTTAATGGGGCGTCGCAGGATCGCTTACGCATTCAACTACGACGCCCCGACGGCAGGTCTGCCAAAGCAGACCACCACAACCATGGGGTTGCTCCAAGGTCCACTCTGCTATCAGAGAAGTACCAGGAGCAACCCGCAAGGTACACCGCCCCCCGAAGAGGGCCACCTCCCACCGCCCACCGAAGTGGGCAACCTCCCTGTGCGTTTCTTAGCTTCGTTACTACTACTGAGCCCCCCCACCACGACAAGGTGAACGCACGTTGGGGGGGGGGGACTCTGTTGCTCCTGGATTAACTTAGATGCTTCGTCTGCGCGCAACATCAGCTCATCAGATGCGGCGTGCAATAAATCTGTACCTGCAGGGTCAAGTGTGTACGAATAAATAAAATTAAAGCACTGTCCGGGACTATCCTTAAATATCCAAGTGCGATGGGCAACGTTTATTACCATTCCGGCCCGAGACAAGAAATCTATACCTAGAAGTGTTCTAGTGTCACAACCTGGCAACACTAGTAATTGACACATTACACTATGGCCTTCGATATCTATACCTACCTCGGCCGTCAACAAGTCTCTCCACCCTTGTGTACCGTCAGCCAGGTGTACAAATCGTTTAACTTTACTAAAGTGTACTCCCAAGTCTACTAAAATTTTATATAATAAAGGACTCGCAATACTATGCGTAGCGCCCGTATCCACTATCGCCACTCCGGTACGACCCATAACAGATATATTAACCATAGGATAAGATTCACGCGTACTCACGTTAGTTAACTTAATACATGACGCACTTGTATTACCTAAACTACTATTATTATTATTAAGGCAATTATCGTGATTATTAAAATCTACATCCAAATTATTGAACGAAGTTTTACCATCCGAATTCGTTAAAGTTTTCACACAAATATCACATTTCGACCTCACGACACCTTCCTTACCACAACCGTAACAACGTATACTTTTACGCGTGCTATCGCTATACAAATGTTTATCATTATTATTATTAATCATAACCTTCTCACGATTGCGACATTCTTCACTAATATGCCCAAATAATTTACAATAACTACATCGGGGCCTATCGTTTTTATTACTACGCGGAGTGATCGCGTTCGTACTATCAAAACTCGATCGAGTGAGATCGCGACCGGTAGTAGTGACCGATGTTCGTGAAATCGCGCTTTTACAATTACTACGATTATTGTTATCCTTATTTACCTTAAGAGTTTTATACATATCCTCCGCGATCCTCGTTTTATACATTAAGTCATCTAAATTACGAACATTATCGCGGGAAACTCTTTTAACAATACGTCGGTGTAATAACCCGTAACAAATATCAACTTGCACTATTTCATCGAGCTTATACGGTAACTTTGCAATTAACGCTCGCACTTTACACAAAAACGACTCGGCGCGTTCTTCTTCTTGCTGCTCCGTAGCGAAGATCTGCCGTAGAATCTGATGCGCGGGCTGCGCCACGCCATACGCCGCGCGTAGGCGGGCGACCGCGTCCGCCCATGTAGTCACCGACGCCTTAACGCCGCGCCACCATACTGCCGCTTCACCCTCCAGCAACATCGGCAATCCGCGGAGTGCGAGCTCGTCACTCACGGCCGCACACTCCTTAAATATCTCGACGGCATCCAGGAACGCTTCTAATACCTCGGCGTCCTGGGACGACCCGTTGAACCGCGCCGTGCACTTAGTAAAATTGGCGTCGACACTCGCGACGCTGGCAGCAGTACCACTCCCGCTGTTCATATTATTTGTTTGAGAGGCCACGACTGGGGTGGAGGCCCTAAATTCACTGCTGGACGTCATCAGAGAATTGATAAGGCTTCTATTTGCTTCCACTTGCGCACGCGTGATCGTTTCCATCAGCGCGGATAGGAAGTGTTCGGGGAGCTGGAGTGCTGGTTGCTGTGTCGAGCCGGCTCGCGCAGCTCCGTCCACGTGGCCGTGCTCGATGGTGCTCTCCTCTCCCTCTGTGACATCGTCCCCTCGCTGCTGCCGAAGCGTTTCCCCTCTCCTCGTCATAGGCATCTTCACGCACTAGTATATAAGTTTAAAAGTTCGAGCCACTAGTATGGGCGCCAGTTTAATAGGTACACAACAGTCTATTAAAATATATTTATGTCACTTGAGGTTTGACAAGAAAACTTATGGTTATAGAAGTTACACAAAAATTACATAAAATCTTACAACTGCGCGAAAATGAGAGTCGTGGAGGATCGTTATGATACAGATTAAGCATGGAAATGATTGCTACTTTTAAATCATTATCACGTGATGAAATTACAACAATTTTTCACGTGATTTCACCTGCTACTTTTCACACATAGATTTTTGATTTCGACGGTCTGGTGTCACACTTTATATTATTTGCTATTAAAATGAAGTATGAAATGTCACCAATGGCACTACTGATGTGATATGGAGCAGAGATATAGATCTGACGTAGTTGCATACGTACATGGTGCTTTGAATGAACCTATTTTCAAACAATGAACTTTCCCTCATACTTCTACAGGCTTGGGACTGACAATGTAAAATTAAATGAATTTTAAATATATCAGAGTGATCACACGGTAAAATTGTATTAAGCTAAGTTCCATAATTACATTGGCGTATTTAAAAGTTCATTGTTTTTATGTACAATAAGAATTTTTCTGTGGAATAATGCACGATCAGCAAACCATTTCAATTGGAGAGTTACAGGATATCTAGAACCCAGAAATTTTAATTATTTATAAATCTTTATAATTTTTAAAAACTTTACTAACAATATTTTTTTATGAATAAATTTTGAAATTAAATAATAAATAAAAAATAGGTAATTTAAAAATGAAAAGTAACGCCATCTTTCACGTTAGTGTGACGTCGTAATGCATATATTATATTTTAAAATCAATTGCGCGAATGATTTATTAAATCATAATCTGTACGTATTACACATAATCATTCAGTAAAAATTATAAGTATTTGTTGGATAAAAAACTAAAAATGTGCTCTAAATTTAATTGTTGTTTCTAATTTAAAATTATTTCTAAACAATATTTCTAAGAATCCGAAATCATGCAACTCGAAATAAATAAACTCCCCAATTTACTGATCAACGGTATTAACTGAAAATTGTATTTTGTTGAATAAAAAATCAATAAAAACATCAGTACGAGAATGTATACGGAAAATGCGAGTAACGAAATGCATTCGTGAGTAACGTTTCGGTACTCGGTACTAGATGGCGTACCCGTTACTCAGTAACGAATACATACGGCTTGCTACAGCTCTAGATTTCACCAAGTTGTGATTTGTAGCAGCCACTATGAATTTAAGTAGCAGGTGTGACGTATGATTACGCATTTCACGTGATTTTTCACTTGCTACTCGTGAAATGTTCCATCCCTAATACAGATGTTTACGCGTTCGGCGCTCGCGGCCAGGGGGGGGACACTCAAGTCATTGCTAATTTTTGTAAAGAAAGTTGCGCCATCTACTTTTCCTAACTGGTAAAAATGCTCAGTGTCTCATTAACTTGCCGATAGATGTCGCTTAAATAATATTCGATCTTGTACTAATTATAATTAATATCATATTAATTAAATAGATAATTAAAGACTTAAGATTATTATTTTATATACAAAAATATTTTATAAAATAAAAAAAAAACTATCAATACTTGTTCCAAATGGCAATTTTAATATTTTTACAAGCAATTCCTAATATTCCTATTATGGCAATACTAGTAAGTGGTAACGACAAAATTCAAATTTCCAATTACATTTTTTGGCCATTTTTTGTGTATTTTTCGTTTTTGTAGCATTTCTTATTCATCAGACGTTAAGTCGAGATTACTCCTCTGTCCTGATACCAAGATTATTACCAAAACACACAATTTTATTGTGTCTGCTACAGTGTGACGAATTATCGTACATACTTCGTAGTTTAGTGATATTTCGCGATAAGGACGGTTTTCTGTGGTGTGTGAGTTATAAAAAGCAACACGATGCCTCATCGCTGCGCTTTTGGATGTAAAAACACCAACAGTGGTAAGTATATACTCATTTCTTAACGAATTCATGCCCGCGGTACTCAAAAGGTGTTTGCTTGCCGGCACTTCTAATCATAAAAAGTAAAGACAAAAATATAAAATAACCAGCAATGTATAGATTTGAATAATGTATAAAATATTTTTTATTCTAAAATACAGAGCTTTGTTTAAAAGCAATGTTTGAAATAGACATGTAACAATATGTAATTACTGGTAGTACATTAAATTTTAGTAAAACTTATTACTTTCAGGTGTGGTGATGCATATGTTTCCAAATCCAAAAAGATTTCCTGAACACTTCCATGCATGGGTAAATCTTCTCGGAGGAAAGTTTGAAAGATTATCAGATCATGAAATCTACTTAAGAAAGAGGATTTGTGATATACATTTCACTGATGCACATAGAAATCGGTATAAGCGCCTCAATGCATTAGCAATGCCAACATTGTATCTACCAGGTATGTTATAAATATATATTATTTGCATTATTCTTCATCCATTCTTTGTTGGAAATGTTAACTGCTTTAAAATTAAAGAAATAGAGAAAACATAGACTATAGGTCTGACTGACTGACTGTTAGGTCCTCCTTTGTACATAAGATCTTGAGTTAAACAAAATCTGTGTTGGGGATTCAAAGATTTATAATGAAATTTTTATAGTCGAATAGTATAAATATTTCTATTTTTTTAGGTAACATTGGCAAAATCACCTACCTGCTACATCTAAATTTACAATTTTACAAACTTAAATAAAAAAATCTATTTTTTATATCAAAAAAAAATGTTGATTTGTTTGTTTGTTTTTCTTTGTCCTGCTTTCATGCAGCCTGGGATAGACTTGATTTTTCTTATCTGTAGTTAAAACCAGAAGTTACCAGAGAGCTTTTACTCCCATGAGAACATTTTCTTGTGGCTGGCTGGCACTGGCACTGGCACTGGCAATAACTAGTAAAACAAAAGTTTTGTTACTACTTATTTATTGACTTAACAATTTTATACTTTTCAGCTGTGCCGCTTAACTATCAATGCATGCAGATGAAACCACTTCATTACAAGATGAAAATCATGTGTAAGAAGATATGTTGTTTGCGAAAAAAAGTACAATGTTTTAATGTTTTTTTATTTTGTTAGTTGATAATCTGTTTGATTCATTAAATGTTAGCAGTTTAACTGTTCAAAATGGTAAAATTTATAAAGGGCCTATTAAACGCAATTCACTTCATCATCAATTATGGCAAAAAGCTAAAGAAATATAAAAAACCACAAAATATATTAAGAAAGTTAGATTTGGAGATAAAACACGATTGACAGAAACTATTGCACCATCTATAACAAATTTAATTAAAACTGTAGAGGGTATAGAATCTCTTTGGAAGTTATTGTCTAGAAAATATGGCATTGATGCAATGTTGAAAAAAAATTTCAACCAAGACCCTATAGAAAACTTTCAGGAATATCAGGAGTTATGGTGTTAGAAACATTGCTCCAAATACTGTCTCATTTGAGGGGGCCTTCAAGGCTTTGATGATAAATAATTATAGTGAGCCCCATTCAAGTGGAGCAAATTGTGAAGAAGATCACAATGAGTGTCTTCAAAGTTTGGACTTCTTCCTTAAAGATAAGAACATAATAACTCTTGATATCCCTGATACTAATGATACTATTCATTTTAACAGTGAAATTTGCTTTGACCTATCCAATGAAATTAACGCTGGTCAAACCAATTATGTCTGCAGATGAGTTTTAAAGAGATGCCTTAAATTTATAATAAAAGGTTGTCAACATTGCAAACAAACATTGTTTGAAAATGATATATCAAATGACAATAATTCATATATCTATGCCAAAGAGTACATGAATAAAAAATGGCTGTGCTATCCTAATAAAGAAGTGGAATCGTATTTCAAAGAAATCCAGGATATGACCACTTCTTTTTTTTTTTAAATGTACCCAAAATAGGTTTGAAGAAAAATATTGTTTTGTTTCTGGACATGCTATCTGATTGTCCTTTTAAGTGTGTTGAACATAAAAATAAATTAAAAACATATTTTATAAATATGACAATCAATGTTTTAGTTTATAGTTGGTGCAGAAGTGTCAATCGTATTTTGAGCGGCAAATTAACTGTTAAAGATGAAGATGATGAGGTCAAAATTGCAGCCCAAAATTATTTTAATAAGCACAAGAATTATAAAAATAGAAAATGACCTTTTAAATAAAATTCTCTTTTCGAAAACGTAAAATAAATTCAACAAAATATATTGTAAGGTACTTTGGTGCCATTTTTATATTTTTGAATTCAGTAATTTTGTGGATAGTCACTGTCTGTAACAAGTATATCTTTGAGATGTCTAAAATCTTAGAGTAAAGCATTCAAAAAGTCTAGAAACCAAAAATCAAAATAAATCCGCGAAGAATCCGAAAAAATGTCTTATTTAAAATGTAAAATATTCGCGTAAATCTAAGAAAGTATAAAAAATGAGATGAAATTATTACATATAAGAATTATTGTTCAATAAAAATTATTTGTAATAAATAAAATAATGATATGATTACTCAATAAATGATTACTCTTGCAGTTATTGTTTTTTCTTTGTTGGAACACTAGTATAGCACTACTAATAAATCAATGGTAAAATAAATAGATATAGGTAGCTATATAGCTACCTATATATAGCATTAGTTTTGGTTAGGAAATGCAGATGGCGTTTCAAATTGATTTGCATAAAAAATCCTCAAGAGGGCACTCTTTTCCCAGTTTATAACTATACTCTTTGCTCGCGGCTCTCTGCCTGGTCGAGCCACGCCGTCGCTCACGCGTTCGCGGGAGACGGGGGGGCGCGGGCGCCTAAACTATACGATCGCACGAAACACGGCCCTACAGGATCGTACATGTTCCGACACGATACCCCGCGATCACCGTTGTTTGTAAAAACCCCGCGTTACAATAGTTTATTTTAATATAATCTAAATCCTTACTTATTTAAATGTACTATCAATTATAAAATAGATATTATTTCACGTATAGCACACGTCACAAGTGCCGTTAAATAACCGAGATAATGTTTGCTACAGCTGTTTTTGTTCAGAATATGCATGGCTGAAAATCCAAAGTCCTCCCAATAAAAAGTTTCATTATGTTTTATGTACCTAATTAAAATAAAACAAGGTATTGTAATTTGAAAAGAATTTATATATATAAAATTTCCATGTCACAATGTTTGTTACCGTACTCCTCCGAAACGGCTTTACCGATTTTTACCAAATTTTATATGCGTATTCAGTAGGTCTGAGAATCGGCTACTATCAATTTTTCATACCCCTAAGTGATAAGGATAATGATGGTCCTCCCAGACCCCACCCCAGGGACGAACCCGAGCGGAGCAAGGGTGAGTCGCTAGTTTATATATAAATTTCGATTTAACGAGCAGTGTAATTATAGTAACAGTTGACAGTAAATAATGATTTTGTAGTAAATAGGGAAAGAATGACCAAAATTGCATTTTGTTTAAAGATAATTTACCTATTTCTGATGATTTAAACAGTATTAACGATACATTATATATACTTTGAAAGATGTTAAAAGTACTAATATTGAGTTTAAAATATTCTCATTAAATTATTAGTCTTCGATAACAATTGTGACATGACTGCTAATCGAATTGTGTTCTAGAGCTGTAGCAAACCGTATGTATTCGTTACTGAGTAACGGGTACGCCATCTAGTACCGAGTACCGAAACGTTACTCACGAATGCATTTCGTTACTCGCATTTTCCGTACATATTTTCGTACTAATGTTTTTATTGATTTTTTATTCAGCAAAATACAACTTTCAGTTAATACTTAATACCATTGATGAGTAAATTAGAGAGTTTATTTATTTATTTCGAGTTGCATGATTTCCAGATCTTAGAAATTTTGTTTAGAAACAATTTTCAATTAGAAACAACCATTATATTTAGAACACATTTTTAGTTTTTTATCCAACAAATACTTATAATTTTTACTAAATGATTATGTCAAATGATATCAAAATATACTTTATTCAAATAAACTTTTACAAGCTCTTTTGAATCGTCAATTTTACATTTTAAATTAAAATTAAATGTAAGTCCGTTAGGAACTACCACCGGCTCGGAATAAAGTTTTCTGCTGAGAAGAACCGGCGAGAAACTCAACAACGGCTCTTTTAAAATAATAATTGTGTACAATATTGTAATACAATAATTATCTATTTATCCTACGTGAGACATGATCATGTGATTATGTGTAATACATACAGATTATGATTTGATAAATCATTCGCGCAATTGATTTTATATAAAATATGCATTACGACGTCACACTAACGTGATAGATGCCGTTACTCATTCATTTTTAAATTACCTATTTTTATATTTATTATTTAATTTCAAAAATTATTAATAAAAAAATATTGTTAGTATAGTTTTTTAAAATTATATAGATTTATAAATAATCAAAATTTACGCTTTCTGGATCATGTAACTCTCCAATTGAAATGGTTTGTTGATCGTGTATTATTCCACAGAAAACAACGCGACGTCAACGATATACGGTATAACGTGTAATTTATACCGTACGCAATACATACGCAACACGACTCGATACGATGCTCTACGAGTATGTTATCGGGTATCAAAAGTAACGAGTAACGATTCAAAAGTAACGAGTACTGATGCTATAGTAACGAATGCATACGGGTACGCTATTTGTCGTTACTTTTACACCTTGATTGTGTTCGTTATAATATATTTACTGAAATAAATACATATACCTATACATATTTTTTATCTATGGCTATTGGCTACTATGGACCCGTTTCATACTCATAGCATCATGCAATCTATACACTTAGTTTAATTGTTACTTATATTTGTTATAAGTAAACTTCAATAACGAACAGTATTGATACAATTTAGCACTTTAACTTATTATTATCAATATAGGTTTTACAATAATGTATGGAAGTCTGCCTGATTTGTTGACATGATTACTGCAATGCACTCCCTTGGGTAGTAGCATAATGATATACAAACCTTATAGTCTTTTTCAATAAACAGGCTTTATACAAATAATAGATTTTTCAAATCTGATTAATAGTTCCCAAGATTACCGCGTTCAAGCAAATAAACTCTGTATCTTTATAATATTAGTAAAGATAAGATATTAAATGAATTGTCAGTTTGAACAAGACGGTGAATCTTAGTTTGTTTACAGAAAATATACTAATTATACATTTTTTAAGATGAATGAACTAATAATTTGTATCATTTTTCTTTTAGAACTGTAAAGCCTATGCTGTATGTATGTAAATTATAGTGCTCAGGGAAAACCTCAGGAGGAAGATCACATTTTGCACGTGCGAGGTAGAAAAGAACGAGATGCACGTACATTTGTAGGATTTGGTCACGACAGACAGGCAAATTGTAAAAAATTCGACCTCTGTATTGTTAAATTGATTTTTAATCAAAATATTTAAGAGGATTGTGAAGTGCCGATACGCGGCGAGAGTAGGTATTTTTAAAAATGCTATCTGTTTCATACCGCTTTGCATCCCCCCGGCAGTGAACAACACAAATACAACATACGCAAATTCTCACACACACTATGATAGCAGCAGCCGGTGACGCGCGGGCGCTTGCGGGGGGCGGGGGCGGGGGCGGCGCGACTCGGCGCAAGAGCAATTTCAAAGTTTATCTAATATTTATTATTTTAACGGTTTGCGTACAATATACATTCCCTACAAGTTACATCGCACCTTTATTCATAAACTGAAATAACTCTAAATTACAATTCTGTGGCGAATATCATTTAAAATTTGACTTGTTTAGATTGATGACTTCAAAAAATCATAAAAAAATAAATAGGTGGTTTAGATCAATTACAAAAATCTCGTTCCAAAAGTTGAAAGTTATAGAATTTTTTGTTGTTTATGTAGGTACTAATAGACCCATCGGAATCCTTTTATTGTTAAAATAATTATTTTATTGAAAACCTGAAGTTTTATGATTTTATAATGTTAGCAGGTATATAAGGAATAGAAATTCATAAAATGACCTGATCATGAATGATGATGATTTACGATTTTTTAACAAATCTATGACTAAATTTTATAAAATATATCAACTTAATTTTTTTAAATATATTTTTAACTAATGAATAAACAAGATTAGATTACGAATGATTTTCATTTCTTTCTGTAATTGCCCTAAAATCATTTTTTTCAGAAAAATCAATAAAATTAACTCCAAAAACTAATAAAATATCGATAATTTCGAAAAAATTATAACGAATAGTATGTGTATATATATATATATAATTATACACATACTATTCGTAATAATTTTCATAAAATTATAACGAATATTATAAATTATAACGAATATAAAATTAAAAATATAAATTTTACAAAAATAAAAGTATTTTTATTGCTCCTTCTAAACGGTAATAGTCCAGCAATTAGCAAAAGAAAGCGCGTGACCGGTGGTGGGCGAGGGGTGGAGGGGTGTAGGAAGTGGTCCTTACTCATTCAAACTTGGCCAGATATAATGATGATGATGATATAGAAAATATTTTTATTTTTGTATGAAAATGAAAATTTAAGAAATATTTTTTTTTTCTTGTTACAGAGGTTGTTGTTATGATGTAAATAGTATATTCCCAAAAGGTCTTCAGTAAATTAAAAATGACCCTGTATATATATATATATATATTT